GATTCCTCTGCCTCTGAGCGCACACGTAGGGCTGGGCTGGAGAACCCCAGGGTTTCACTCATGATAAAGTAAGGCCCCTGGAGATTCCACATTTCAGGAGGAAACTTGACTTTGGCTCCTTACTATATAGGTCACCCCGTGAAAATGACACAGACCTTTCCTTGCTTTGAATCTTGATGGCATCAGAAATGATTCTTAAAACTCTGCAATTCAAGCTGGGTGGTGTCAAAGATGAAGCTGGCAGAAGCCTGGGGGTCTACTCGGATCCTGTAGCCAACCATTAGGCTACCGAGAGCCATTTTTCACCTCATTTACTTTTTCTCCTATCAAATGAGGTGGGATGTGGATGTCTAGGAAGAAGGAAGTTGCTCGCAGCTCTCCCAATCCAAGATTATTCTGAGTTATTCTAAACCCTTAAAGTATAGATTCAATTTAAGACAATGTGCCCTGTAAACTATTTTTCACACTCGATTTTAATTTGTAGAGCTGTTGTAACACTGGACCGAGGGGAGCAGAGGAAGGACGGGAGGCATCCTGGATGGCAGCAGTGGTCTGGTGAAGTTATTAATCTCCAATGTGGCATCATCCATGACTCTCAAAGTCAAAGTTAATCTGTGGATCTAAACTCTATGGAACTCTAGTCAAATACACTGAGTGGCCAGATTATTATGAGCACTCCATCAATACTTTGTTGGGCCACCTTTTGCCTTCAACATTGTAGCGATTCTTCTTGGCACTGACGCCATGAGATGTTGAAAGGTGATGTGAGGAATCTGACACCATGCCTGATGAATAGCACTGTCCAGTTCTGTGAGATTTGATGGTGTGAAACCAGCTGCCTGATGGCTCTTTTAACTTCATCCCACAAATGCTCGATTGGATGGAGATCTGGTAATTATGGCGCCACTTAAGCAAGGTAAAGTCTCCCTCATGTTCTTGAAACCTCTCCTGCACAATGCGAGCACCATGGCATGATGCATTGTCTTGTGGAAGAAGCCATCTCCATTGGGATACACCATAAATATGATAAGATGAACTTGTTCAGCAATGATACTTAGGTATGTTGTGCTATTCAGAAGTTGTTCCATGGGAATTAAAGGGCTCAAATCATGTCAGGAAAACATGCTCCAAACCATAACACTGCCCCCACCAGTTTGAAGGGTTGTACTCATGCATGTGAGGTGCAAGCTTTCATGCTGTTTCTGTGAGATTCTCACTCTGCCATCTGCATGATGCAAATGGAAACATGATTCATTGGACCACATAACTTTTTTTCCAATGCTCAACTGTCGAATCATTGTATTCCTGTGCAAATTGGAAATGTTTTATCTTGGTAACTGCAGACAGCAAAGTTGTTCGAACAGGCCTTTGGCTTCCATATCCCATAGGATGCAGTGTATGGCTAATTTGTCTACAAACATCAGTTGCTCATAATTATCTGGCCACTTAGTGTATATTTAGACTAGTGGCCTGGTGCATGAATTCATGCACATTGAAAGGAAATTAATTAGAAGAAATATTTTAACATTGCTATTTGCCCTTTCTCTACAATAGAAGTATTAACCAAATTCACAATTCACAATGACAGATGGAAACACACATGTACGATTGGCACCAGCGAGAGCTTTATATGTATTGCACATGCATGAGTCAATTAGCTTTTTATCAATATAGAATAAACTTGCTTAATTAGACCTGCTTTCTGATTTAGCTAAACTTTTCCAGCCCAGTGAAGCACCCCAACTTCTCTTTCAGGTAATTGTTAGCAATACAACAGTAAATATCAACAGAAAGAACATTATTAATGTAGATCACGCAGGAAGAACAAAGGATAAAATATTTAACTACAGCAGTGTTTGATTATATTCTGCACAGTGAGAAAACCTGAAGTCATTTTTAAGGTCCACCATTTCTTTCTTATTTTCAGTCCGGTCAAGTTTCTAAGCTTTCTAAATCTCAATTTTCTGGCTAATGAAAAGAAAATAGGATTCACTGAATATCCTATCTACCTACTCCAGGACTTCTGTGAGGATCAAATGAGATGAGGCATGGGGAAACACTTCACAGACATCTGATTACTGTGTAAAGTGTTTCCACCTGGCTATAAAGCAAGTGGTGTTCCTGGGCTGCAGACACTGCAAGGCTAGTCTCTAGGGGAGAGATCTGGGTGTTGCTACATGTCTGGGTGTTCCCGGGCAGAGGGAAGGACATTTAGCATATTAGCCTTTTATATAGATAGATGGAAGGCCTCCATAAAGACTCACATGTGCATGTGATCATTCAAATTAGTCAGGTTTCAAAATTAACTGTTGTGGTTTGTACCATCATCTGAGTTAGGTCAGAACTCCCTTTCCCAGAGCTCCCTTCCCTAGATGGTTTGTACATTGGAATTGTCTCACAGAGGTACCTGTGTGAGATTTGGAAAATTGAAGCAGTGGCCATTTTTCTCTGAAGGTCACCATAGTTAAATATGGCAACTAACAGACACAGAGGTGCCTGTCCTCATTCTCCTCTGGTCCACTGCCATCTCTTCTTCCCAAGTGTTGACATTGAGCATTGACCTAGGGTGGCTCCAGGCTCATCACTAGGCATCTGGCTGTAAATGCCCCATGGTGGCCACCACATGGTAGCACCAGCTTCCTGCAGAGCTCCAAGAACACCACCTGTCCAGGCCCACTTCAGATTGCTCCTCAGATGAGGAGCTGGTCGGCACACCTTAATTTGCACACCTCCTTCTGCCAATTCACTTCTCATGTCCTCCCATGATTGTGTTGGGTCTAATTCCTGTAACAAATTCTGATTTCCACAGCACTCAGAGTAACACTTCTCCCCTGATTCACCAACCAAACCAAATGTTAAACCCCCAAAATGAGTATTCCACATAGAAGAAATGTTTATGCATGCTTTCTAATACTGGGCTTCCTGAGGGCTCATCATGTTCTAAGTCTCAGAGGGCACAAATGGTATCAAAGAAAGACAACCGTGAAGTACACACATGAGTGTGTTTGGGGAGAATATAAAACTTACTTGGTTTAAAAGTTTGCCTTCGCTCATCCTCAATCAGGGATGTGAGTTGGTTCAATGTATTTCTCTTTCCCCGGCTAAGTCACAGGCAAGGTTCTGTCCGGCCTGCTCCCACAGGCTTATGTCCACAGTCCCTTCTGCCCAGCGATGCCATGGCAGCACTTGCTGGCACGTACAAGTGATGGAGCTGATCTCTATCACATCCTGCATGGAGGTGTTACAACCTAACAAGCGTTTGGGTAGCAATACTAAAAACGTAAGTCTTCAAATGATTTCACGGATGGTGGGATAACATTCACACTTTGACCCATAAGTGTTCATGAGGCATTCCTCTTTCACTCCTGGGCTGAAAAGCAAAAATCCAAAGTTTCTTAAAAAACAAACAAACAAAAAAAAAAAAAACAGCCCAAACACCATAAAAGTGTGCACATAAATTATTTTATTGCTTTCTTGTTTCTTATTTAATGTGGAGTCAATGCTTTTGAGTAATGGTCCGAAGATGTCCAGATTTCAACATTATTAAACATCAAACAGTAAAACATGTGGGAAGAAGCCCTCCAATGTTAATTCCCAGAATATCTGGTGGAACAACCGGGGATAAAGGCCACTGGGCTGGTCGTCTCGGTTTAGGCAGGAACTGCTGTCCTGACACGGGGAACAGGAAAGGTCCCAAACAGTGCCCATGTGTTTAGGCAGCACGCTTGTCTTCCTCTAAAAGGTCTGGGGAGATTGACAAGAACTCCAAATATGAGAATCCTTTCTTTCACCTCAAGCTTAATCAACAGGGTCAAAAGAAACTCCTGTGGAACAGAAGAAGTGGTTAGGACAGCAATTTTTACCCGGTGTGCTTGCAGGAATTTTTGAAACATGTAATACCTGACTATTTAGTCAGGGGCACTGACCTCTTTTCCCTTAGACTGTCAAATAGAAAAAATGACAACAGCCAACATAACATTGGCTGTCCGTGTGAATGAATCAAAATATATATTGTCAGATCAGCGAAAAATATGTTTTTTGGTGTGCTGCAGAAATTTAGTAGTTAGCTTGTGTGCGCCATGAGATTACAAAGGTTGACAATCTCTGGGCTAGGATGACCAAGACCAGCAATGATTCTGCTGTCACGGAAGTGACATGTGCCTACACAGTTCCTCTCTGAGCACCCCTGGTAAGGACACGTGGACTCTGAGAGTGCACACGGGAGGCCCCACACAGTGACGGGGTGAAGCCAGGGCAGCCATGAGCAGCTTTCTGCATATTGAAGGCACAAGGACCTCATCGTCCTGAGGTACGGAGAGGGTCACTGTGTTGGGAATTATGTTCAAAACACACACCCTACCTCCAGAAAACTGCTCTCAGCTGCCATACATTTGATTACAATTGTAGGCTGATCTCCTTTTTGAAAGTCCCCAAGTCTCTGGCACCCCTAAAAAAAATACTGCTGTGCCCTGCTACCTCTGCAAAGAATCAGATTCCCAAGGAGTGGAAGCTCAAAGGGACACACAGCTGCAAAAATAAATACACAACTCAACTTCTAACGACTATGAAACACCACAAAGAAATAAATACCTTGGACTCTACAACTGCAGGTAGCATTCGAGCAATCCCTGGTAGAGTCTTAAAGATGCTGATTTTCCCATAAAACATTCATCTACAATAACGTCGATCAATACTTAAGGAGTAGGCAAAAAAATGTATGAAAATATTTTTTTTTTAAAAAGAAACTTCATTAAATACCAACAATAGTGATCAAATTCAAGATGTCAAATTTAAGTGAATCGCTTTTGATCTTTCCTAATGGTCATCTTGGCCTTCATACCGAGCACGGACCAGGGCCACCTGCCAACGCTGCTGAGGGAGCAGTCACACAGACCTTCCGTGGGAGAGCCACGGAGCCCCGTCTTTGCCAGAGGAATCATCTAGAGTCCTCCGGTTTTGCAATTCCACAGTATGAAGAATGCTCTTTACAAACACAGTAATACTGAAAAAAGAACATAAAAGTGCATTTATTCATGTCCATGCCGTCTAAATCTACTGATTACAGTCATCAGAACCCACCGGAACCTAAACAACAACAAAAACTCGGGGACACGCATCCCCCTGATCCGCAGGTTTCAATCCAGAGGACTCCGCGTGCTGGCGAGCCCGTCTCCTCCCTGAGAAGCATGCTCTGCGCTTCACGCTCTCCCTCCAGCAGCTTCTGTCTCTCTCGGTTAAGGCCTGGACAGTGTCGGATGGCGTCCCGCGTCCCCTCGGGCCGTGCCCTGGTGAGATGCTGTCAGTCGCCCGTGGGCTAGGGCTGCGTGAGGTCAGGCGGGGGTGCCCTCAGCTCTGCGGTCCGCCGCTGGAGCTCCTCCACCGTCTGCAGCAGTGCGGACCGCTCCAGCTCCAAGGCCAGGGCGGCCTGCTTCAGCTTGCTTTCGTTGGCCAGGAGCTTCTCGATGGTGGCTTCCAGGCTCTGGATCCTACCATTTGCCACCTGGAGAGTGAAAGGAAACATGAGCCTGTCATTGCCCAGTGACAACACAGGGAGATCCACGGTGCACACTCCCCTGTCCAGCCTTTGGGGAGCTGTGGAGCCACGTTTTGGCAGAGAGGACTCCACTGGGTACTGTCAGTTCTTCTGGCCACAAAGGAAGACTACATCTCCCAGGCTCCCTTGCTGGTAGTCCAGGCCACCAGAGCTCCTCCCCTGCTGTGGCTGCTTTGGGAGCTATACATTGAGGTGGTGGCTTCACAATGCAGGGGGAGCCCGAACTCCGAGCCACACACTACAGGGATGACAGCTCAGATATGACCGCAGCATCTTCCTGGAGAAGAGGTGGTGCTTTAGGGACAGTGCTTCACCAATGAGATTTGGAGCTTTACTCATTACTGCAGCACAGCCTGGCCTATTTAGATGACATCATCTACACTGAGTGACCAGATTATGATGATCTCTGAACATATAATAATCTGGCCACTCAGTGTATATCCTATATAATAAAAGGCTAATATGCAAATTGTCCCCTCGACCAGGAGTTCAACCAGCAGGCAGGCTGGCCAACCGCCCCGTCTCCTCCCCCTGGCCTGTTGTTCAGAAGCCCCATGGCACACCAGGGGCCCCCACAGCTCAGCAGGGAGCTTTCTGCAGGGCCACTTACTGCAGCACGAGCATCAGGTCTCCCCAGTGAGACCACAGCTCTCCCCTGAGAAAGCAGGTCTCATCCTGCACAGGGGCTGCCCCCCCTGCACCTGGCTCCTGGCGCTCAGGACTTGCGGTTGATTGTGATGAAAAATGCCCGTCTGCTATTATCTGTCACCACCTGACATGTCTATGAGATCGCCTCATGGATGCTACTGGACCAAACAGGTAACAGTTTGGTCTCCCGCTGCTGGACAGCATTAAATGTTACCAAGAGAAAAGGTGGGGCATTGAGATGTCTAATAACTAGATAGGCAGAACAAAGCTGGAACATGGGTCAATTCTGATATTTTGGCAAAAATGAAAAATAAGAAAAAAGATTTATGTTGAAAAATTAGCCATTGTATTGAACGCCTAGCCTTGGACTCTGAAAACTGCTTAAAAAAAAAAAAAGATGGAGGTGAGAGACTCACAGAACTTATAGTCGAGCTGAAGGACAATAACCCCAAGTGAGCCCTTGAGGGTCATGGGAACGGGACATACAAGCACCTACAAACCAACAATACAATCCGTACCCCAACTCTTTGACAGCAACAGTATCTTACGGATTTTGGTGGCTCCTAGTGCCCCACCCCCCCAGCAGGACTCGGTCAGTACTGGTGGGCTGGCATAAGCTGGGGTCCTGAATGACACCCCCAGAAACACAGAGCCGCTTGGTCAAGAGAAAGAACATTGCACGGAGCATGCCTATTGTTACCATTACCCCCTCACCCCCCATCTGACGCCTCTCTTGAGGAATGCGGATTTCGGAGCAGCTTTTCACAACACCTTCTCTTCATAAAAGGAACAGTACCACAGAAGCAACACAAGCTTACTCTCCACCCTGCAACGCACACACGCACAAAACCTACCCGGATGTTAGATCAATAAAAGGATCCTTCTGCCTATCTTAACAAGCCAAGCGCTGCAAACTCGAGTCTGAGCTTTGCGAGAAATGCTTCCATCTGCTCTATTTCAGGGGCACCCCGTTTGTCCGGAAGGCATTTGAAATGCCCACTACACTGCAGACCCTGCCGGCCAGATAAGGCTCTGTATCCCCTTGAACCTTCCCACACATGACGGCCGAGGCATCCTGGAGAGATTGGGCACAGTCACGCTTTGAGTTAGGACAGTGGTTGGCATACTCCTTAGTCAGCAGAGCCAAATATCAACAGTACAACGATTGACATTTGTTTTGAGAGCCAAATTTTTTAAACTTAAACTTCTTCTAATGCCAATTCTTCAAAATAAACTCGCCCAGGCCGTGGTATTTTGTGGAAGAGCCACACTCAAGGGACCAAAGAGCCGCATGTGGCTCGCGCGCTGCAGTTTGCCGACCACAGAGTTAGGACATCTCAATCACAGGGGAGAAAAGCAGCTATGTTTCCGAGTGTGCCGGGCAGGCGGGACTGGGTGGAGAAAGCATCTTTCTTTGTTCCTCTAGGAGGAAATATCTCCTCAGGTCTGTGGGGACAGATCCCTGCGGAGGGAAATGCACTTCAGACCTGGTTGATTTACTAGGCTCTCCAAAGTCTGCCTCCCTCATATCACTGCCAAGCCTGTGTCTGCAGAGGGGCAACATCCTATGGACGTAAACAGGCTCAGGCTGGGAAGGAAAGCTAATTCCCAGGTCAGCCCAGGAGCGCATAAATGCATACTTGGGGGTGGGGTGAAGAGGAGAATGTATTTTTTTTCCTGCGAAAACTCAAAAAAAAAATTTTTTTTGTAAACACTGCATAAACAATTCCTTTACTCTGATAGCATTACCACCCATTTCTGATGTTAAAAAACTAGACTGTGTGGCTCCTTTATTCCATCTTCTTGGAAAAGGAGCTGTGTGCTAAGCCCTAGGTATTCTTCTGGTCCTTGTCACACAAACCAGGGAGTCAGGACAGAGCCAGTCAGCGGTCTGTCCCGGTGAAAGCGGGGGTGGGGACATGGGGAGACCAGGTCTCTGGGCTGCCCTCTGCCCTTGCTTCCTGTCACCCTCTGTGCACACAATCAGTGTTTGCCTTTCTACAGTGTCCTCATCCACACACATCCATATTAAAATGGAAGTTTCCAGAGTGGACAATTGTGTCCTTCATTAATCAAGGCTTGGTATTTGCACCAAGGACACATGTATCATGATCCTATGCCCTGATTTACTTTTTTAATTTTATTTTTTAAAATATGTTTTTATTGCTTTGTAGATTGAGCAGAAGGGAGAAGGAGAAGGGAGAGATAGAAACATCAATGAGAAAGAAACGTTGATAGGTGCCCCCTACTGGGGATCGAGCCCGCAACCTGGGCATGTGCCCTAACCGGGAATCGAACCAGTGACCTTTTGGTGCAGGGGCCGATGCTCAAACACGGAGCCATATCGGCCACGCCTGGTTGATTTTGCAAGGCAGATGTTGGTGTTGCCTGCCTCCTTTAACATCCCTCTGTGGACCTGGCTGGTTTTGCTCATAAAAGCTCGAGCCTTTGCTTCTCTTGTCATTATTCAAAGCACAGCTGCTGGCATTCAGTTAAGAGCTCCATGGAGTCTGGATCGCAAGTTCATCTCTGGGCCTGTTTCCTGCTAACGGCAGAGACAGCCCCACAGAAAGCTGTCTGACCTCAGCACAGGATCGCCTGGCTGCTGCCTACGAGAAAGGCCCGGGACCCCCGGGATACCTTTGATCCAACTCTAAGCGGACCCGGGCGGAGAGGCCCCGTGGCCGTGGGAAAGCCCCGCCTGCTGGGTTAATGAGCTACCGGGGTGCAGGAAGCTGCTTCCCGAACGTGCTCTACCTGCAGCTGCTCCAGGAGGTCAAGGTTCTGTTTGCGCAAGCTGCTGTTGGTTTTCTCCAATTTGTCCATTCTTTGGTTGTCGCTGAGAGGAGAGGAATCAATAAGTTCTTCTTGAAGCACATGGTACTCCACTTCATACGCTTGTAACTGTTTAGAAATGTCCATCTCAAATACCTGTTAAATGCAGGGAAGTCATCAGGCACCGAAGGTGAGAAAAAACACACAAAAACATACACACACACACACACACACACACACACACACACATACAAACCACGTCAGCGAGACCCACTAAACACCGACTCTGTGCCTGGTATATTGGTGATAATTAAAGAAAACTCTGTGCCCTGAGAAAGGAATCATTTCACTTGGGAGGGAAGGACAGAAGCAGCGTTTGGAACTAAGCCTAAGATAACAGTAAGGATGGTCTCTGATACTCATTTTCCAAAAGTCGACACCTTGTTTTTACAGAGGCACGCAGCATTTATTTTGAGCTCTGATTCCAGGACTTATGTTGTTCTTCTCTGAAAACCCCGTTAAGTTAGATGCATCAACTCCGGGTCAAAGGGAGGAAGCAAAACAAAAGCATCGCAGCCCTATCTGCCCAGTCACCGAGTCAAAGTTTAATTACAGTTCAGCTGGGTTTTCAGGGTTACAAGAACAGCTAAGTAATGGAGCTGTTTACTGAAAACCATTCTCTGCACACAAGACATGCAGAAATGAGCCAAAACCCAAATGTCACCCACAGAGATGAGTGAATACGAAACAATGCCTGCGCTGCCTTCTTTCCCATAATAGTAACAGTGATGAAAAAACCACCCGTGTGAAAAACAACCCAGTGCACGAGTGAGTGAGTGGTCTGTCTGTACTTTCTCTCGGGGACTGAGCTTGAAGGGGGCGGGGGCGGGGCTGAAAGGGGGTCAGAGGGCAGAGGCTGCAGCCCCGGGCACCTCCTCTCTTTCCTGGTGTTGAAAACACCAGGGGCTGAGCCTCGGCACCCAACAAGGACCCCAGGGAAATCTGAGAATTCAGTCATCACTTAAAGAAGCCACGTGATCAGAACACATGGTTAGAGAATGGGATTAGGCTTTATAAGAGCAGAAAGGGACTTTTCAGCACATTTCCTGAAAAAGAAAGGCCGACAGAGTTAGAGCCAACGGAGAGCTCCTTTCCCCTGATGGCCCTCTGTCAGCACTCACACTCACAGGGGGGAGTCCTATCTTCCCTGAAATCAATTTTTTTAAATATATTTTTAATTGATTTTTTACAGAGAGGAAGGGAGAGAGAGAGAGAGAGCTAGAAACGTCAATGAGAGAGAAACATCGACTAGCTGCCTCTTGCACACCCCCTACCAGGGATGTGCCCGCAACCAATGTACATGCCCCTGACCAGAATCGAACCTGGGACCTTTCAGTCCGCAGACCGAAGCTCTACCACTGAGCCAAACCGGCCTCGGCCCTGAAATCAATTTTAAAGAACCATGTTTACCAGCTCAGCGTTCACCACAGTCTCATTTCGTCTCCCTTAAGGCTCATTTCTCAGCTTCCTGGTGTTCAGTTTAATTCAACAGATACTGGTTAGGCACCAAGTCTCTCTGTGCTGAAAGTCTCACCCCGTGCTGGTGGCATGTGTGTGCGCTGTTGACTGTATTGACCCGAGTCTCAGTCAGTCCCTCGGAGTGACCGAGAGGTCAGCGAGAGGTCAGCAGAGATTATCATCTCTATTTTCAGTCAAGGAAACTGACTCAGAGGCTTTGAGACAGTCTCAGGTCCCGGCTCCAACGGCGACTCCCTGAGTGACCTTGAGCAGGTCTCTTGACCTCTCCTAGGATCAGCTCGTGTCCTCCAGCATCACTGGGGGAGTTACAGGAGACAACCTATGGATCTTCCCGGCACCTGCCTGCAAGCCGAGAGGCAGTGCTCACTCAGCTGAGGGACCTGCTTCCACACATTTGTTGTGAAACCCGCACATTCAAGCTCGTGCTTCAGCAAAACGACAGAGGATACCCACAGCGTGGACCTTCAGAACAGCTCAAACAGTGAAAACCGCCAACAGTCAAACCGAGACTGCGTGGCATCGAGGTGTGACTATAAGTGGGGTACAGTGCAAATGCCACACACACACACACACACACACACACAGTTACTTTTCTTCTTCCACCAAGGTTTATTTTTAAAGGAGCTCCTAACCTGGAAAATTTGGGAACAAAACGTCTCGCCTTTTATACAGATTGAAGACCAGCTGAGATTAATGGCTCTCAACTGTGCCTGAAGCTATAAACTCTCAGGCCTCCGTTAATACCTAGGAACCCGCCCGGGTCATAGTCGGCTCATAGTTGTCTCTGCTTAATGGCACCGTTATCTCCTGGGTCCCCAAACACTGAGGCCCTCAGATTCTGCAATGATGCCCCAGAATTTATCCCAAACCATGGCAGCAGGTGGCTGGTGGTAAAAAGAGACCTGGTTTCCTCAGACAAGGAGTGTTCAAGTAGCTATATATTTTTCATGGCCATCATTTTTATAAATGGCTTTGTACTATACCACCTCGACATATCACCACCATGCCAATCCATGCATCCAGTGTGGGCTGCCCGGTTTCCTGAGTTTCTGTTGCTCTAAATGACAACCCTACGCATCCTTGTCCACATGGCTTTCCCCATATTTCGGACCATTTTCTAAGGATACATTCCAGGAAACGGGATTACTAAGTCAAAGGGGAAGAACATTTACTGGTTCGTGAGACATATTGCCAAACTGCTTCCCAAACGGGAACCATCAACATACAACACCATTAGCCACACACGGATGTGCCAGACTCAGTGCACACACCCTTGGCACTGGGTGCTGGCATGAAACATTCCGTTTGGTTAATCCAGTCAGTAGAGCACTCTGTGTGATTTACATTTGAATCATGCACGGAGCTAAATATTTTCCCAGATGCTGTTTATTACACGGGCCTCCTCCTTGGAGAACTGTGTAAGTTCCTGGCTCATGTGCAAGTGGAGACGGAGTTTCTCTGCGCCGTCTGTGGACACGGCATGATGAAGCTGTGAACCTGGTGTCTGCACAGCTAGCCCTGTACTTTCCACGTCCCCACCCCACACCTGCCCCGCCTCTGTCGGTCTCGGTGGCACACCCAAGGTGGAGAGAGGAGCCGCTGGCCCAGGTAGTGGCGGTAAGGGGGTGGCGGTAAGGGTCTGTAGTGCATTTAAAAACAGTAATACGCCCCACTAATAGTTGGTCTGCTTTTTATTACCGCCACATGCACACAGTCCTACACAATGCCAGCGGTAAAATAAAGTCTCCCTCCCACCCTACCACACCCTCTAGGTCTGGCACTGCTGGGCCTTTTAAAAAAGTACTCACTCCCCACAGTGCACACTGCCCGGGCAGAGGGCTCCTCCCAGAGGCAGAGAAAGGGGCCTGGCCACGGGCTCCTCGGAGCCCTTCTGAACAAAGGAGCCTTGTTAAGATTCTGGTTCTGGCCCCACAAGCTCAGCTCGCACAGAGAACTGCCAGCTGTTTGCAGGGAAGCTGCCAGGAGCAGAGCTTTTTCATTGGTTCCCAGAGAGTGAATCCCCTGGGGCCTCACTGAAATGCAGATTTGGACTCAGCGGGTCTCTGGTGAGGCCCCGGATTCTGCATTTCTCGCCTGATACACTGACAGCTCCTACCTGATACACTGACAGGCTGGGGCCATGCTTTAAATGGAGCCCCAAGGATGCTAAAAATAGGCTCTTTGTCCCCCCCACCCCCACCCCACCCCACCCCTTCTGTTTTCCTTCCTTACACTGACCTCAGGTTGCAGAGGCTGGCTGAGGCACTCACTGTGACAGGAATGCAAACTGGACCTCCTCTTAGTTTCTGTTTATCCCCAGGGTTCCCCCTCTTCTTGGGTCGGGATTTTTAAGTCACACCAAGGACGCCAGAGAGCCTGCTGAGGCTCTGTCCTCCTGCCCGGGGCTCTCAGCTCTGGGCCTGCCCCTCTGTGTCTGCTCCCAGTGTCCCTGAGCCCCATCCTCACTACTCTCTCATCCTGTATGCAGGCTGCGTCCCAGCCTCTGGAGCCAAGACCACCCATGGAGAGGGCATTTAGTGAAACGGAGCCATGGCTATCAGAGCAGCCAGACCTGCCCATGCCTTCAGGACAACCGTGTGCAATTAATGCACTTACCACTTCCCCCATGATGCCTCCAAGGTCAAACCTGGGGCTCTGTGAGCCTGCAGAGGAGGCACGCTGCACCTGGGGCCCCACTTCTGAGTTGGACTCGAGACGAGAGCCCCCTCTGGAGGCCAGGACTCCTCAGACCCTAACCATCTCACACTCACACACCCACACTCACACACACACACACACACACACACACACACACACACACACACACACACACTGAACTGCCAGGCATCTGGAATCTCTATTCCCTCACTCCCATGCCTTTGAACATGCTGTGACCAGGGGTCAGCAAACGACAGCCTCCAGACTGAATCTGTCCCACCGCGTGTCTCTGTAAATAAAGTTTCACTGCAGCACGGTTTCCTCATTTCTACACACACCTCCGTGGCTGTTTGCGCGCTGCAAAGGCAGAGCTGAGTGGCTGCAGCAAGCCTTATGGCCGACAAGGCCCACGACCTCCCTATCTGGCTCTCTACAAAGGACATGTGCTCACTTGATTGGCTGCTTCTTCTTCTTCTTCTTCTTCTTCTTCTTCTTCTTCTTTTTTACTTATTTATTGATTTGAGAGGGGTTGGGGGAGAGAGATCTGTTGTTGCACACATTTTATGCATGCCTTGTTTGATGCTTCCATGTGCTCTGGCTGGGGAGAGCACCCACAACCTTGGTGAAGCAGGATGAGGCTCTGACCAGCTGAGCTATCCGGCCACGGCTTTGGCCAATTCTTTGAGGCCCAGCTGAACTGTGTGCCTTCAATTCCCAACTGTGAGCACCCACACCCTCCGCCAGACCGGCTCCCATGAGCCTTGCACAAGCACCGCGGTAGCTCGCACCACACTTGTAATTACTGGGTTACGTGCTTATTTTCTGCACCGGTTGGGCTTTGGTGTCAGAGGGACACGTTACATTTCCGGCTCTGCCACGTTACATGGGGTGGGGGCGTACTCCTGTCTCCACATCCGTCTCCCCAGCTCTAAAACAGGGATTATCGTCCACATTCCAAAGCTGTGGTCTAACGGATGCCAAGTTCACAGCGGCCGCCTGAAGACAACCAGCCACACACACAAACTGTTCTCTCTCCATGTTGTGCTCACGTCCATCCTCCGAACCCTTAAGGGGCACCCAATACAGTCATCGCAACAGGTGCTTTTACAGAAAAAGGGGAGGAAAGGGGATTTTTCCCGGAGCTCAATATCCAGGAGGTAAACCATGTCAGCCGAGGCTGCTGGCCTCAGAGTCAGGAGCAAGGTCAAGGCACTCACTGGGCCAGACCTTGGGTTAGGTGATCGAGGCTCTCTGCATTTCCCAGGCAGCATAAAGTATAAGGGGAATGAAAATACATGCAACAACAGCTCTGAGAAGGAATAAATGCACATAAATGCTAGGAATTACAGTATCCAAAGGGTGGAAGATTTGGTATTAATATACAGGTAAAATGCAGAGAAACTGTAGTGAAATGAGGGTTTGGTATTAACATACAGGTAAAATGCAGAGAAACTAGTGAAATGAGGGTTTTGTATTAATATACAGGTGAAACAGAAACTCTGTAGTGAAATGTGGGTCTGGTATTAATATACAGGTGAAATACAGAGAAACTGTAGTGAAATGAGAATTTGGTATTAACATACAGGTGAAACAGAAACTCTGTGGTGAAATGAGGGTTTGTATTAATATACAGGTAAAATGCAGAGAAACTGTAGTGAAATGAGAATTTGGTATTAATATACAGGTAAAATGCAGAGAAACTAGTGAAATGAGGGTTTGGTATTAATATACAGGTAAAATGCAGAGAAACTGTAGTGAAATGAGAATTTGGTATTAATATACAGGTAAAATGCAGAGAAACTGTAGCGAAATGAGGGTTTGGTATTAATATACAGGTAAAATGCAGAGAAACTGTAGCGAAATGAGGGTTTGGTATTAATATACAGGTAAAATGCAGAGAAACTAGTGAAATGAGGGTTTGGTATTAATATACAGGTAAAATGCAGAGAAACTAGTGAAATGAGGGTTTGGTATTAATATACAGGTAAAATGCAGAGAAACTGTAGCGAAATGAGGGTTTGGTATTAATATACAGGTAAAATGCAGAGAAACTGTAGTGAAATGAGGGTTTGGTATTAACATACAGGTAAAACGCAGAGAAACTGTAGTGAAATGAGGGTTTGGTATTAACATACAGGTAAAATGCAGAGAAACTAGTGAAATGAGGGTTTGGTATTAATATACAGGTAAAACGCAGAGAAACTGTAGTGAAATGAGGGTTTGGTATTAATATACAGGTAAAATGCAGAGAAACTGTGGTGAAATGAGGGTTGGTATTAATATACAGGTGAAACAGAAACTCTGTGGTGAAATGAGGGTTTGTATTAATATACAGGTAAAACGCAGAGAGACTGCAGTGAAATGAGGGTTTGGTATTAATATACAGGTAAAATGCAGAGACTCTGTAGTGAAATGAGGGTTTGGTATTAATATACAGGTAAAATGCAGAGAAACTAGTGAAATGAGGGTCTGGTATTAATATACAGGTAAAATGCAGAGAAACTGTAGTGAAATGAGGGTTTGGTATTAACATACAGGTAAAACGCAGAGACTCTGTAGTGAAATGAGGGTTTGGTATTAATATACATGTGAAACGCAGAGACTCTGTAGTGAAATGACACCCAGAGGCCCTGCCAGAGCCTGTGAGGCCAGAGGATCCGAGCGTGAGAGCCGCCCTGTCCACTCTGCAGCAGGGTGACTGAGGGCCGGTCCATTACCCACTTTGAGCCCCAGGCTCCTCAGGGGTTAAAGTCGCCTCTCCTCTCAGGAGTGCAGTCACGATTAAATGAAATCATGTGTATTTATAGATCCACAGGGAAGCTGGTAAAAGCAAGCCAGAGTGAGAGGCGGAGCCTATCCGGGAACCGAAGGCCCGGTGCAGAGGGGAGAGCTGCTCCCTCGCACAGGCCTGTGAGCTGCAGAGCTGCAGTGACTCCCACATGGCACCCTCCCTCTCCCTCTTCCCCTCCAGGCCTTCTGCGCCAGGCACCTGAGCAGGGGCAGCCAGGACATCACAACTCTGGTCTGGGGGCACCAGACCGGAAGTGCTGCTCCTCTTGGACCAAAAGCAGTCCTCAGAATAAGGATTCTTTCCAAAGCTTTATTTCACTTCTTGTTTTCAAGGAACTGCTCTATGTGTACGTTGTGTTTGGAGCAGGTGAGGTAAGTTCTAGGCTTAGAGAGACCGGAGGCTGATGGCAGTGCTCCACACAGACTTCAGCTCAGAGCTTCCCCGCCAGCCCGCCTCAGGCACCTCCCAGGGCGACCCGCCCTCTGCTGAGCAGCTCAGCCCCTCCTCGTCTGCAGTCACCATTGGAAGGTCCTTTTTAAAGCAGAGTCCAAATCTGCACCCGCCCCCAATCCAGGCCATGAAATAACTGCTCCAGGTGTAATTCCTGGCTCCAGTCACCCCTCACCCTTAACATTCTAGACAGCAACGGTTCCACTGCACCCAGCAGCCAGAGGTGCTGTGACCACAGATGTGGAGGAGGATTCTATTAAAGTGCACGAGTATACACACACACACACACGCACACACACACACACACACACACACACTGTGGAATAAACTTATGTAAAATGTATACGCTCTATCACAACTTAGCTATGGAAAGTTCTTTCTGTAAAATAATATTTTCAGCAGAGAAATGAAAAAAGCCTACATTGAACAGATGTACGAGTTTTAGAACAAATTAAGAGACAAATTAAGTCTCTTAATTATAAGAAACTACTGATAATTTGTGCTGGTGACCACACTTACCCATTACCACAGTGTTGCCACATGGCATGTCAGCACTGGATTCACAGCACACATACACTCACATGTTTAGTCAACGGACACGTATTTGCGATGTGACTCCCTCGCACCAAGCATCACACAATATGCTGCCCAGAGTACCAAGGGGTAGGGAATAGGCCCTGCTCAATAATAATAATAATAACAACAACAATAATAATAATAATAAAAATAAAGCTTCTACATAACCAGGATTGCTTGAACCTTCGGAAAGGTTAGGACTGAATCGTACCTGATTGATGGTCTTCTCCATTTGCACCAGGCCCAGGTTGGGTAGTGTGTTTTTTATGAAGTCAACTATGGTCTCGAGGTTCTCATGCTGCAGGATCAAGGGCTTGTGGCTCCCCAACAGACTTAAAGCCACTTTAAAGATGACCTCTGTTCCCTGAAGAAAGATCATATCTGGGGAAACACAGAAATGCAGAAAGTTAAGCCGGACCAGTTTCTGATGAAATGCCATTCGGTTTCCTTTTCCACACGTCGCAGGGCAGGGCAGAGGGAAACTTGACCCCAAACTGCAAGTTTTATTTCCTTTTTAAGAGCCTGACATTTCAGATGGGGTTGTCAAGGCAATACGGCAAACAATGAAAGAAATATAGGCAAACATACTACTACAATTTTGTCACAGGCTTAGATAAACATTTTTATTTGCTCCAAAAAAATTTAAACATGCATTGAAAAATGGAAAATTTTTTATCAATCTATTTTTTCCAGGAATGTTCTAGATTTTAAAGGAGTTACTAAAACATGTTTTTATGGGTAAAACAAAGGTTTTCAGACATAGAGCATCAGATATACAGCATTTAAATATAGACATCCAACTACACAGTATAAGAGTAAGTAAAAAGAAAAAAAAAAATGCCTGTTTCCTCTATTTTGAAATAAGGAGTTGAATGAAAAGACCTCTAAAAACTCTAAATGTCTGCTCAATTCCAAAAGTGCATTATTAAATATAAGTATACTGAATTTTAGCTCAATAATGGAGTAAAGCTCAGCCCTAGCAACTGATTGTGGGTGACTAAATTCAGGCAAGTTACCTGACAACTGGAATAATCCTATATAGTAAAGAAGTAATATGCAAATTGACCTTCACGCTCTCACAAGATGGCTGCCTACAACCAGGCCAGTGGGGGTGGGGGAGGTTAGTGAGGGATGACCAAATGACTGAACAAGCAGGATTCGTGGGTCTACCAGGCCAGTGGGGGAGGGGGGGACAGTTGGGGGTGACCAAGCAGGCAGGCAGGTGAGCAATTAGGAGCCAGCGGTCCAAGATTGTGAGAGGGATGTCCGACTGCCAGTGTAGGCCCGACCCCAGATTAGAGAGGATGCAGGCTGGGCTGAGGGGACCCTTCCCCCATGCACAAATTTCATGCACCAGGCCTCTAGTCCTATATAATAAAAGGGTAATATGCAAATCGACCAAACAGGATGGCAGCTCGCTATGACATGCACTGACCACCAGGGGGCAGACGTTCAATGCAGGAGCTGCCCCCTGGTGGTCAGTGCGCTCCCACAGGGGGAGTGCTGCGCAGTCAGAAGCCGGCTGGCGAGTGCAGTGACAGGGACAGAGCCTCTCCCGCCTCCGCAGCAGCGTTAAGGATGTCCAACTGCTTAAGCTGGCAGTCAGACATCCCCTGAGGGCTCCCGGACTGTGAGAGGGCTCAGGCCAGGTTGAGGTGACCCCCCCCAAACCCCCCAGTGCATGAATGTTGTGCACCGGGCCCCTAGTGTACATATAAGAAAAGATATAGTTTAAAGATGAGAGCATACATCTGATTAGAGGCAACTGTCAATCTATCTCTCCCTCTGGCTACAGGGTAATGGAAGAGACCCAGAAGCTGGAAACTCCACCAAGTGGAGGAAGACAGAGCAGTGGGGAAGAGCCCCAGCACTGCTCCTCTGACACGTATAAGCCATGAAGACACAGAAGCAGGTGGATGCTGCCGTGCATAAGAGAAATGTGTCAGAGTGGCGGCGTGCGGGTCGCACACAGGGCAGGCCGAGGTGCTGACTGGCGGGTCAGAGGTGCGCTGTGACCTGCGTGAGGCCTGAACCACCTGATGCCGATGGGGCACGGCCCTCAGCGATGCTGAATCGAGGTCAGCCCGTTTCTCTCAGGGCGCAGGGCCACAGAGTCCACAAACTTCACAAGTGCTTGTGACTGAGGGCAGCCCCCAGGGAACCAGAAGTCTCCACGGCTGCCTCCCTCCTCGGTTTGCCTGCAGAGGCCGGTCTCTGACTGCCGAGCCTTAGGGTAAGTACCCACGTTCTAAGGCAGTGCCATGGAAGAATCTCCCCATGAAACGTCTGCTTTACAAAATACAGGGTTTGCGGTGTAAAGCACCGCTGCAGAAAATAGAGAGATTTAAAATACCACCATAGCCGAAACCGGTTTGGCTCAGTGGATAGAGCATCAGTCTGTGGACTGAAGGGTCCCAGGTTCAATTCCCATCAAGGGCATGTACCTTTGGTTGCAGGCACATCCCCAGTTGGGGGTGTGAAGGAGGCAGTTAATCGATGTTTCTCTTTCATCGATGTTTCTAACTCTCTATCCCTCTCTCTCCCTCTCTGTGAAAAATCAATAAAATATATTTAACAACAACAACAACAAAATATACCACCATAACCACAGTGTATTTTTAAACAGGAAAGACATTTCAAAAGAAAAAGTAAATTTGAAGAATCCGTGGCTTAGACACGAAGCCTTCCTTTCAGTATATGAGCATTCAGAGCTGAACAAAAACTGGTGGCATCTGTCAGACTATGTAGGACATGTTAGCCAGGGTCTGGGGGGTGGACTGCGCTCCCTAGAAGTACATCCTATAGTGACAGTTCATGTTGTTGGTCTTGGAGCGACAAGAACCTTAAAACCAGATATAGTACCATTTGGGGTGGTGAACACACAATAGACAGCTGATGTATTATAGAACTGTACACCTGAGACCTGTATAACTTCATTAACCAGTGTCATCCCAATAAATTCAATTAAAAAATTAGATACAGTGCCAGTACCTAAGCCAATTAAATAATTACTGGAGGGTTTCTGAGCATAAACAAATATGTAATCCATATCAGCAGTCTCTTAAGGTTAGCAATGATCCTCCAAGCTTTATTCCTTTATGATCTTGGTGTTTATAACAAGTCTACTTAGCAGAATGCTTTCTATGACTCTAGACTCAGAGTTTTCTGGACTGTATGAGAAAAAAAAGAATTTTAGAGAGAGTTGAGTTTGTTTTTTTTTTTTTTTAACCCACTTCCTTAGTATGTTAAAAACAAAACAAAATAAAATAAACTGGATATGTTTATTTCATTGGGTCTAATGGTCTGTATTTAATGTAATTATATATATATATATATATATATATATATATATATATATATATATATATATATATTCCTGCCTGACTGGCGTGGCTCCTTGGTTGAGTGCAAACCTATGAACCAGGAGGTGGCGGTTCGATTCCCAATCAGGGCACGTGCCTGGGTTGCGGGCTCAATCCCAGTAGGGGGCATACAGTAAACAGCTGATCAATGATCCTCTCTCATCCTTGATGTTTCTATCTTTCTCTCTTTTCCTTCCTCTTTGAAATCAATAAAAGTAAAAAACTTTTTAACACACACACACACACACACACACACACATATATATATCTCCGTGAGAAAGTGACTTAATTTCCTGCATTTGAAAATCACTGTGTAAGAAATCACCCCACAGCCCTGCACTGCCCAGCTCACAGCACGGGCTGTCTCACTTTCTCCTTTCCTCCCTCATGCCGCCCATAAACAGGCTCAGGGCTTCACCAGGCAGGAAGTGAAGGGAACCTTAGATTCAGCTGACTCCTGCACTTGGCAAATGATTTGCTGAGAACAACGCAAATAGCTACATTGCTTTGAAGATGCTCCGGCAGCTGTTATTGCGCTAATGGGTACGGAACTCTATTTGAAACTCCCCGTGACATAAAGGGGCAATTTTACTGGGGGGTGGGGGGGAGGTGATGATAAACACCAAGCGCATGGCGGGCTGGGGAGCGAACATATCCTGCATCTTTCCCAGCCACCTCTGTCTTTGTCAAGGGCAATAGCTCTGCCTAACTTCCTACAATGCGAACAGGAGCAGGCAGGAGGGGAAGGAAGCGTGGTGACAGCCCTAGCGGAGTCTGCAAACACCCCCTCCGTCACCACTGAGCCATGGTGCTGAAGAGCCATTTTCCTGGCTGTACAAACGGTCGTGCTTACCCGTCTACTTCAGTCCTTGAGCCTCTCTGAAGCCTTCTTCCCATTACAGGTGGGGCGCGCGTGCGTGTGTGGTTTTGTTCTTTTTTCTTTTGCCAAGCCCCTAGTTTTGTTTTGTTTTTGTGGTTTTTTTATTTTTTAATTTTTTAGATTTTTTATTTTATTGATTTTTTTTTTTTCAGAGAGGAAAGGAGAGAGATAGAGAGCTAGAAACGCCAATGAGAGAGAAACATCGACCGGTTGCCTCTTGCACACCCCCTACCTGGGATGTGCCCGCAACCAATGTACATGCCCTTGACTGGAATCGAACCTGGGACCTTTCAGTCTGCAGACCGACGCTCTACCACTGAGCCAAACCGGCTTTGGCTGTTGTTGTTGTGTGGTTTTTTGTTTGTTTGTTTGTTTGTTTGTTTGTTTTAATATTTTATTGATTTTTTTACAGAGAGGAAGGGAGAGGGATAGAGAGTTAGAAACATCGATGAGAGTGAAACATTAATTCAGCTGCCTCTTGCACACTCCCTACTGAGGATGTGCCTGCAACCAAGGTACATGCCCTTGACTGGAATCGAACCTGGGACCCTTGAGTCCGCAGGCCGATGCTCTATCCACTGAGCCAAACCAGCCAGGCCCCTAGTTTTTACATCCCATCTCCTCGCTCATCTTCCTGGAATTACATCCTACAGAAACCTTCAGGTGCCTCCTCTTCCGTGAGGAGCCAGCCTGGTCCTTTACCCCCAGAGGCAGACCCCTCTCCACCCGAGCTGGAAAACACAGGAGGCGGCTCTTCTATGCCATGGGATGCCCACACAAAGTACTGGCTTTCAGAAAAGCATCGTTACCAGGCGCCTCAATGATAAAGGTCAGGGCATACACGTATTTGGCAGCTGCCCCTCTGAGCAGCATACACTTACATCCAAGGTGACCTATTAACTAATATACGAGCCATGCTGACTGCAAAGTGAGGATCCTTGACTTACATGTAAAATTGTGAAGAGCTAACAAAGGTCCATTTGTTTTCAGGGCTTTTCCAGGCCTAAAGACTTGTAATGAAATGGGCTTCAGACCAAAAAAGACTCCGGTGTATGAATGGGCACGCTTTGGATTTAAAACTGAGCAATCCACCGTGACGGGGGTTTAAACAAATACAGCTCCAGGCACCGATGCTAAGTACAGAAACGGTTTTTCAAAACCCATCTTTTCCAATAAAAGTTTGTTTTTAAGGACTGATAGATGGGATGGACTGTGCAAACAAACAACAACAAACAGTAGCGTTGTTGTTGTTTGCAAAGTGACATCATGACATAGTGTGCCTTGAGCTCTCACTTCCAGCCTACAACTCTAGGCGCCCTGAGCCCCTAGCCAGCAGGACGTGGGCTCAGGACAGCAGGGTCTGTGAGGCCCAGGAATCATTTTTATGTAAATGTGTGAGAAACACCAAGTTCCATGCTGACTCCAGAACAAAGCGAGAAACAGGTGTGTTTTCCAGCTTTTATCTATGACGTCATTAGGATCAGCTTCATAGAGTACCGAATTCTCATTTCCAAAGCAGAGTTTGTTTGTTGTCAGTGCTTCCTACCCACTGAGGCAGCCTAAGGGGAGATTTTTCCCTGGAGATTTATGGCCCTGGAGCCCAGGACTGTCTGCAGGCAGCAGCTTTGGTGCCTGTGGCCAGTAGCAGCGATAATTCATAACTCGGAGCTGGCCCTCCTGCCCAGGCCCCTTCCCACCCTATAATGTGATGTCTGAGCTGTTTCAAACCATTCACAACACCCCTTCCCCACCCCCACTCACCCTCTCAATCTCCACTCCTCTCCATTACCCTCTTACAACTCTCTTTAAATTTCCAGAGTAGGAAAAGTAAAACACACTGAGGTTTTAGGCAAGAAGTGAAGCTTCCAGTGGGAGAGCTTATAGTTTGTGTGACTCTTGTTAGTAAACTCAGCAAGTTTGAGGCTTTTAGTTCTTTTTAAACAATAGTATAAATCCTTCATGAACTCTCACTATTTGTTTCACCAGGAAGTGTTTTGAGTATCTCTGTTCTTCAATGCTTATTTTTTTAGGAACAAAAAATAAAAATGTACTTGGGAAGTAGTTATACAAAAGAGGGGGTTAGTAAACATTTTAAGATAAAAGATTCTTCTAGTAAAATCAAATGCAAACTTCAAAAGTTCTTCTGAATAGGAGTAAAAATTAATAAAAATCTAGCACTTTGGTAGGAATGGGGGAGAGGCAAGAAGATAACTCAACACCCACTTATATTAAAATGCAAATTTTAGGATTTCTAGAATTTGGATATACAAGCTATTTACCCAAAGCTGCCCAATGTAGTATGAACTCTCTCAATGTTTATGAACATTCCCTAAATCCCCTTTAGACGTCCCGTAATTCTAAAAACAAATGTAGAAAAAATGGGTAAGATTACAGATCTTTAAACTATCAAGTTACTGTACATAGTAGGTGTATAAGTTAATAATGGCAGATTTTGTAATCAAAGAAAACACAATAATTTCAAGAGAAACATCAAAAGTGCTTTATTTGAAGTAATGTCCATAGCTACTACCCATTTCCCCATCTTCCAGGTAATTTGTGGATACTATACCAATAGAACTTTTCTTGTTTTGAGGCAAACCATTCAGAGACCCAATTTTCCACTTCTTTGTACGTTTTTAAGTGCTGCTCAGTGTGTGTGCCATCGATCAGAAGTGGTAATCTGAAGGAGCAAAGTCTAGTGAATACAGCAGGTTAATACTTCCCAGGCAAGATCTTTTAACATGTCTTTAACTGGTTTTGAAGTGTGTGATGGTACGTCATCATGAGGCAAAATTACTTTGCCATGTCTTCTGGCACATTCTGGTCGTTTTATGATCAAAGTGTGGTTCAAATTGATTATTTGTTGTCAGTAGCAATCAGTATTAATGGTTTCACCTGGTTTTAGAAGCTCATAATACACCATACCTTCCTGGTCCCACCAAATCCTTCCATTGTCTTCTTTCCAAAGCAATTTGGCCTTGCAGTCAATGTTAATGGTTGACCTGGATCAACCCATGATTTTGTGCATTTGGGATTCTCAAAATAAATCCACTTTTTATCACCAGTCATAATTCAATGCAAAAAAAGACTTTCTTTCATGCCATTGAAGCGACATTTTATGATGACTTTTTGGTTTTCCATTTGTCTTTCGTTCAGTTGATGTGGCACTTTTTTCCTTCCTTTAAAATATTTTCCATTTGCCGGAAACCAATTCTAGCATGTCATAATTATAAGAGTTTCATCAAAAGGTTGATGGGACTTGTGGACTCAACAAAGGCTGAGTCACATAATGTAATTACCTGTTGGAATGGCTAAAAAGCATCTCCCCAAAACCTGACTAGGATATCTGCTTGCTGCTAGACAGCTCAGGGCATCTTAATCTGCATGTTATTCCCTCCTGTTGGCCAAACACCTGAACAGCTGTAGACTATTCCCAACCTGACAATGCTTCTGTAAACTCTACCCTTTGGAGTGTATTATTTCCACCTTGCCTTGGGACAAATTGTGTTAATAAAAAGCACAGGTCCTGAGCCAAGGAGTAGTCTTTAGCTCTTTTAGCTGAAGCTCTTCTGAGCCCCAATGCCTTTCAAAACTATCTTTCGTCTTTGGACTCCTTATTGAATCTACGCATCAGCCTTTCTCCAGATTGCTGAACCCTTCGTAATGTTGAGACAAGAACCCTGGAACCCACTGCTTGTAAAAGATCGGAAATTGTTTGCTGAGCAACTTTTAATCTTTCTGCAAGTTGTTTTTGAGTTTGACACACATCTTCATCCAATAGTGTTTGTAATTGTTGGTCTTCAAACTTTTTCAGTGGACCTGGACAGTCTTTGTCTTTCACATAAAAATCATCACTTTTAACGCATTTAAACCAGCATTCACCAGTATCTTGAGATGGAACATGTGCCCCATATGCTTCCTAAAGTATACGATTAACTATTTCTTCAAAATGAAATAATGAATTAAAACTTTCCGCAAGTGGATTTTGGGGGGCACGAAATTCGACATTTTTAAGCATAAAAATATCTATGATGTTAACACCTTCAGAAATTTGACATATGAAGTTTTGAAGCTTGTTGTCCCTACAGCCCAGTGGTGAGGGGATCGGGCCTCATCCCACAGGATGAAGGCATGTAGGGAAGCCCGATGATTGTCAGAAGTGACACCAACCCCGAAACTCAGTGTCAAACACCACCCCCTTCTTACGGAAGACACAGGCAGGAAACCCAGAGGCCTCGCGTGGAGGACAGAAAATGCTGTTCTGGCCACGTGCGCACCCGCTTACCGAAGACTCTGGCCACAAACCCCAGGGGGAACTGGGAGGCGAACACGGTGAGGAACCAGGGCGCGGCGTAGAGGCTGGGGCCGATCTCCTGCTCCTCCAGGTGGCTGTAGAGGTCCCTGTGGTAGTCGTGCAGGAGCCGCGAGAGCTGGTACATCTGGATCTGCAGGGACACAGGGTCAGCGCTCACTCACAGGACGGAGAAGACTTCCTAGAACCTGAAGCATCCTATCTGGCTCCGATGTCCTTTTTAAAAAATGTATCTTTATGGTTGAAAGTATTACAAATGTGCCCTCCCTCTCCCCCATTGACCCCCTCTACTCCATACCCCCCAGGCCTTCACTGCACTATTTGTCTGTGACCCTCGGTTATGCACAGATGCGTAATACATTCTTTGGTTCATTGATCTCAGCTACTCGTGTATCCAACCAGAGCTTCCTGGGTGCTCACTGCATGCGAGGCCCTGACTGAGTGCAGGCCCAGAACACTAACATTGGGTCTCCTACCACTTCCTTTCTTTTTACCGCCCCCTCGTGTCCTTGGCTAAGAGAATCTAAACTTCCGTCTTGTGGAAACACTTCATAGGTTCTCTTATACATACAATTCCTAGCAAAACTTCAACCCAGGGAATCGGAAAAACGTGCTAAGAGCGAAGCGAGCACACGTGGTGCTGCTGTGGGACGGCTCTGCTGTACCCGCTCAGTTAGTAAGTTCCCTCTGGGCCCCCCAACACCGAAGCAGAGGGTTCCCTGTGTGGAGTGCGGCAGGTCTGGCTCAGCCCAGAGTCCAGCAGCCCCGCCGCCCCAGCCCAGAGAAAGGATGGCCAGAGCGGGGCGGCTCCCTGCAGAGATGCCGGAAGTTGGATGTGCATTGTCCAAACTTGACCGAGCTCTTTCCAGGCCTCGTAAGTACCAGCTTTTATTTTTTAAAAATCTAATCACCGCCGAAACCGGTTTGGCTCAGTGGATAGAGCGTCAGCCTGCAGACTGAAAGGTCCCAGGTTCGATTCCAGTCAAAGGCACGTACCTTGGTTGCGGGCACATCCTCAGTGGGAGGTGTGCAGGAGGCAGCTGATCCATGTTTCTCTCTCATCATTGTTTCTAACTCTCTATCTCTCTCCCTTCCTCTCTGTAAAAATAATAAAATATATATATTTTTAAAAAGAATCTAATCACCAAGGTCACAAGCCCCCAAAAGAGTTGTGTGTTACAATATTAGATGATATAAAACCTGAACATTCTGCTCTGAAATGGCAGGGATGTCTGGGTTAAAGGTAAGGGAGGAATGCAGGAGGAACCTGACAGGATGCATGGAAAGTGTGACGTGGGTCAAAATCTCCTAGTGAGTGGAATGGCCTCCTTTCAAGAGATTTACGTCCCCGTGGCTCATACTCAGGGCAAAGTAAATTGGACGTTTACCCACACAATTTGGTGCTAACATAACCTTTTCTAAGTATACTTTCTGAGGCTTGGAAATCACAGTATCTTGCTGGTAAATGGCCACATAAACACATGATCCAACGTTCAGGAATATTTCCCAAGCAGGATCCGGTTTTCCCACTTCTGAAGGTGCACAATCAGCACTTGGCACTTAAAACACACTGCTGTTTGCTTTTCTTCTGATGTGACCCCCACTCCCGTCACTGATTCATTCAACAAACACTGCCTGGGTGTCTACTGCATCCCAGGCACTGGTGTTCTGAGAACTATGGACGCAACTCCAAGATGGACCCAGAAAATAAACAGATGATTTCAGGCAGTGAGAGTGTGGTGCAAGAGAAATGAGACAAGACGTCATGACACAGTGTACACGCCTGGGGTGGGCGAGGGGGGGATTTGGTGGTCAGGAGGAGCTTCTCCTAGGATGTGATGTTTGAGCTGACCCCTGGATGACAAGGGGGAGAGCAGGGGAGGTTGGGACAGCGTGTGTGGGATCCCGGGCACAGGAAGTGGCAAGCACGGTGGGAAACAGGAGTTAGACCGTGTGAAGATGCTTTGATGAAGAATAAAAGGGAGGGCCGCAGACACAGAGGGGCTAGCTGTGTGGCCTGGTCAAATTGTGTAGCCCCTCTGAGCCTCAGGGTTCCCACTTACAAATTGAGCCGATTCACAGTGTGTTCCCGAGGGTCAGTGAGGAGATCAGTGCCTATAAAACCCCCGGGTCATGCCTAGCAGAGTACATTCTCCACACAGACCGCTATTATAATGCTAACCAATGGTGGGAAAGCTCCTTCGTGATAGCACTCGTGACTAGGGATGGTGGGTGCTGGGAATATCGGGGTGAACACTGTAAAGTATATAACTGTCTAACCACCACAGTGTACACTTGAAACGAACATACTGAATGTAAGCTGTAGCTAAAAGATAAAAGGTCTTTCTTTTTTTAAAGATCTGGAAAGGAATCCTAAATGTCTTGGCCTCCGTCTCCCGCAAAGACAGACGGAAGGTTCTACCTGTAGAATAATCATGTCGGGCCGATACTGCTTCCGCAGCCCCCGGTCAAACATCAGGAACTTGAGCATGTGGAACGCCTCCTCCTCGCCCATGTGCAGCAGCAGGATGCCGGCCACGAAGCTGAGGCCTTGGCAGTACCCCACCTCCTGGTCCAGGAGCGAGTAGGCCTTCAGGATGTTGTACAGCGACAGCTGCCCCGCGCCCAGCTGGGCGGAGAAGTATGGGTGCGTCGGGAAGGTTCGGCCTGTGGAAACGAGACCCATAAGTTATAGTTTTTTTGTTTGTTTGTTTGTTTTTTAAATATATTTTATTGATTTTTTTACAGAGAGGAAGAGAGAGGGATAGAGAGTTAGAAACATCAATGAGAGAGAACCATCGATCAGCTGCCTCCTGCTTACTCCCTAGGGATGTGCCCGCAACCAAAGTATATGCCCTTGACCGGAATCAAGCCTGGGACCCTTGAGTCTGCAGGCCAACGCTCTATCCACTGAGCCAAACCGGTTTTGGCATGAGTCGTAGTTTTAAAGAAGAAAGCCTGTGGATCAGAAACCCAATGGCCTGCAGGTTACGGCGACAGCTCCTCAGAAGCCGGGTGCCCTGCGGGAGCTCTGTGTACAAGGTCATCTGGTTGTTCTATGAATAACAATAACGTTTGCAACTACCTCCTCAGCAAGCATCTGTGGTCTTGTGTGGCGGGACAAATGAGAACTGCCACGGACCCTACAGATTCTGAATTTTCATCGGAAACAGAAGGAAACGGACTGCCCTCTAATCGGACAGGAGTACAAGTCCCAGCACCGTCTGAATGCGGCCGGGCTCTGGCGGGCTGCAGACCTTCGCCGGCTTTGCCAGGCTGCCCCAGACACTTTCCTGGTGCCCGCAAGTGCTCTGGGCCACATGCGCTGTTTCTGTGCTTTTAAACCACGGCAGGACTTTGAACCGGACTGAGGAATCGGAGGTGTTTTCCTTTCCACAAAAAAAACCAAAAACAAACAAACAAACAAAAACGCAGAACAGTTACCTTCCTTCCAGAAAGAGGTTAAAAACACAAGTTCTCACCATCCTGATTATTTACACAAAAAGCTGGTATTCAGCAAAGCTTTAAAGACTTCTTTTGTTAGGAGGCTTTTGTGGCTGATACTTGTCAAATCCACCTCACCCTCGCCTGGAATGTGACCGATGGGGAAATGTGTTTCCAGGGAGCAGAGAAAAAAATGCTCAGCCGCTGGGGCCCAGGTGGGGATCCTGGCCTCCTCGGATCGGATCCGCGGAGGCAGAAGGTGAATCTGGGCCACAAGCTGACTGTCCAGTTTCCTTCCTCAGCCGGCGAAAGGAAGAGGACACTCCTGTGTTCTTGCTCAGCCTCCTGAGAAAGCACTCATCCACCCAGGCGGCTCATCTGCCCTCGACTGAAGAGGCAGAAACAGTCCCCTACCTTCCTGATTTCTTGTCCTGTATTCATGGTACCCCAACAAATGTTCCCAAAACATGCCTCACACATGTCCTCCCACCGGGAAACACAATCAACAGCTCCCCGATGGAGCTCTGCACCCTCACCTCCTCACCTACCCTCCCAGCTCTCCAGGGCTGACCCGGAACCATGAGGGGGTCCCCAGGTCTCTGAACCCTTCCCGCCTGCGGGCAGAACTGAGCGTGCGCCAAGTATGCGATGCCTGCACATGATCCTGGTCCAGGATGGCATGCCAGTGGCCCTGGGTGCGAGCCACAGACACCGTGTGACACTGTCAGCGGCCACGTGGGAAAGTGACAGGTGAAACTGATTTTACTAAGACACCCTGTCTAACCCAACATAGACAGAATACTGTCATTTTCAACATGTAATCAATATACAAATGATGGAGACATTCTGCATTCTTTGCTCATACTAAGACTTTGAAATCCAGTGTATTCTTTACTGACAGCACACCTGAGTGTTCACCAGCCATATCCAAGTGCTCGACAGACACACACACACTGCCACGCTGACTGCACAAGTACACTGCTTTCTGCAGATTCTCAGAGGGGCTGGAAATACACAGGAAGCTCCTCACTCCATCACCCTGCCCCCACTATCCCAGTCTCCCCTCCCCCAGCCTCTAAGCAGACCCAGGAGAGCGAGTGCATGTGCACAGGGTAGGGACAGGCTGGTCATTAGAAACACCAGCAGACCCGGCCGGGTGTGGTCAGCTCTGAGGGAGCACTATGCCACCTAACTCCCGGAGGGGAGCTGTGTGGTATGCAGTGGTCAGAGCAAGAAAAACAGAGCGATACGGTATCCCAGAAAGGACATGATAGGAGTCTAAGAAGACCTGGGTTCAAGCACTTTCTGCCACTCAGCAGCTTGTAATTGGGCAAAGGACTTGATCTCTCTGGGCCCCTCGGTCACCGGAAACTGGAGTATCACGTGCCCACACTCACCCGGGGCTGGATAACGTTGAGATCCGACACAGCTAGAGAATGTCCCCAAACTATAAAACATTGCCCAACTACAGTCTACCCTTCTTACTCCTCGTAAGAAAAAAAAAAAAAAAATCTTGCAAAAAAGTTGATCAGACTAACATCTGATTTTCACAAAGTAAACAAAGAAGCAGGAAAAGAAAAATCCATGAAAACTCAGAGTATGTCCAACCAGCACACGTTCCGTTCTTCTGGCCAGAGGACGGGTGTCACTTTTGAAGAAACGCTGAAATGAGATTTGACTCACTCTGGACTATCCACCTTTCCTGGGCCCTCAGTGAGCCGCAGTGCAGACTAAACAGGAAGCACAGACTAAACAACTGCCTTGGCGAACGTCTCCTCTTGGTGAGAGGTGGGGGAAGCAACGGGCCGAGTAGGAGGCCTTCTCGGTGAGGCCTCCCTGCTCGAACAGAGCCATCGGAGACAGGCCCGGCCAGTTCCAGAGCAGAGAGAGGCCGGCCCCGGCAGGTCCCCGGGCAGAGCCTGGAGAGATGCACTGAGGTTACTGGGGACCACACTGCTGGGAACAGAGCTTCTTTCCGGCCGGGGAAGGAGTCTGGGGGACGGGGAGGGAAGTGGGCAGAGAGGCAGAGCTCTCGGAGAGGCGGCTGCAGCGGGCCTGTGGGGCGGGAGCCAGGGAGCATGGCGCTGATGGGCATGGAGCCGGCCCTGCCTGCGAATGAGAAAGGCCCGCCCGAGGCTCCCACGGCGGGGAAAGGCGTCAGCAGGCCTCAGGCCAGGGGAGGCCACCCTGGGTGTGGTCCTGGCAGACAGCTCCCCAGGGAGAGGGCACCCCGGCCCCGGGCTGAGCTGGCATCTTCCCTCCCGCTGCGGGAAAGTGATTCCATCCTGGCCATGGAAGAAGGAGAGGAAAGCTAGGAGAAGAGGACATTCGAATCAAGGAGGGGAAGCATGCTCCCCAGTCCTCCCCAATCCTGGGAAGTGAGAGGGGAGGGTAAGGGCGCCACAGAAAAACTGTCTGTGCTCCCTCCCTTTCCACCTCCTACTCTGAATTCATTTTTCACTTCATTTCACATGACAGGAACATGATGTCATTTTTTCTGTTACTCATCACATTAGCAAACAGAGCTATTGCCAATTCACAGAACTGCTCTGCCCGGGGTCAGTGGGCCACACGGGCACCAGCGACACTTGGTCCCCGAGGTGTAGTCACGGCCTGTCAGCATCCGCCCCACCCAGCCACGTGTTTGCAAGGGAACACACGGGCTCCTGGGCTCGGGGGGCCCTTATGACACAGAGCCGCAGTGGGTTTGGGCTGCCAGTTAAACTGTGTGGCCGTGGTCACCATCTGACCGGCCTGTGCCTCAGTTCCCTCATTTCTTATCTCAGGGCTGTCGTGAGGGTCACGTGAGCTCGAGGAGCTACAACATCTCAAAAGACTCATTGAATACGGGAAAAGCTCTGCCCTCGGAGCTGGGGGAGCAATGGGGAAACAGCCCCAGTCCGGCCCCCAGGGCCGTGCATCCCGCGGGGAGAGAGGCAATGAAAAAGCGGCTCCTGCCGAAACCGGTTTGGCTCAATGGTAGAGCGTCGGTCTGCGGACTGAAGAGTCCCAGGTTCGATTCCAGTCAAGGGCATGTACATTGGTTGCGGGCACATCCCCGGTGGGGGGTGTGCAGGAGGCAGCTGGTCGATGTTTCTCTCTCATCGACGTTTCTAGCTCTCTATCCCTCTCCCTTCCTCTTTGGAAAATATCAATAAAATATATTAAGAAAGAAAAAAAAAGAAAAAGCTGCTCCTGCACCTGGCCGGTGTGGCTCAGTGGTTAAGTATTAACCTGCCCCAGGCACCATGAGGTCATGGTTCAATTCCCGGACAGAACACATGCCTAGATTGCAGGCTGGATCCCAGTGCTTGGGGTGGGGGAAGAGAGAGGGGGATGCTGATAGGCTGTGACTACACCTCGGGGACCAAGTGGCGCTGGTGCCCGTGTGGCCCACTGACCCCGGGCAGAGCAGTTCTGTGAATTGCAGGAGGGGGAAGGTGCAGGAGGTAGCTGGTCATGTTCCTCTCTCATCGATGTTTCTATCTTTCCTTCTCCCTCCCTCTCTCTCTCTCTAAAATCAATAAAACATATTTAAAAAAGAAAAAAGCTGCCGCCACTGCCACAGCACCAAGGACAGTTGTGGGGAGTGCAGGGTGCTCAGCGGCACAGGCTGAGTCCCTCGGAGCAAGGTACTCCCCCACCTCTCTCTGCAATTCCGTTTTCTCAGCTCTCAACAGGGACAGAATAATGGCTACCTGGACGTGCTATGAGGATTACAGGAAGCAGTTTTTTGGTGTGTGTGTGTGTGTGTTTTTTTTAAAATATATTTTATTTATTTAAAAATATATATTTTATTAATTTTTTACAGAGAGGGAGAGTTAGAAACATCAATAAGAGAGAATCATCGACCAGCTGCCTCTTGCACACCCCCTACTGGGGATGTGCCCGCAACCAAGGTACATGCCTTTGACCGGAATGTGAACCTGGGACCTTTCAGTCCACAGACTGACACACTATCCACTGAGCCAAACCGGTTTCGGCTACAGGAAGTAGTTTTAAGTAAACATCACAAACACTTGGTGTAAGGTAAAGTGAAGTATCAGCTGTGAATGCTAACGATAACTGTAGCACTAGTCAATGTGGTAAGTGTCATTGGAGTGGAGGGAGGGGGTCAGCTATGGGTGGGACAGATGGCTTAGCAGGGCACCTCATCCAGCCAAAAGGCAGGAGAAGAGCTATGCCAGGGCCAGCTTCTCAGAGATGACGGCTGAGCTTAGACCAGGAGTGACATTTATGAAAATGGCCCTGAGGAGTGCTGTGTGGCTGGACAGCAAAGCCTCCACGCTGCCTGAGCCGGCTCCCCCGGTTCCTGGGCACAGCCTCCTCCCGCCCGGCCGCCGCGGGCCCTGAAGAGCCGGGTGCTGCCAGGCCTGACGCACAGGGGGGGCTCCGGCAGTCCCGGGTGGGCATCCGAGAAGCAGGGCCACGGGCTCTGCAGGCAGCGGGGCCGGGTTCCTGCGCCTTCACACGGAGCCCATGCCCCCCGGGGAGCCCTGCCGCTGGGGGAGACAGGGACCCCGAGAGAGACGGCAGGCAGAGAGGACGCGCCTGCTACCGCTGGGCGCCTGGGACAAGCCGGAGGCTCTTCTGCGAGTCCTCATCACATCCCCATCACACGTGCTCCTCGCTGTGGCCGAGGCCCGTGTCCAATCCCTGGTTCCCATCGGAGCATTTCCAAAGCTACCCAAGGGACAACATGCCTGCCCTTTTCCAAAATAACGCTGCCCCGGGCGCAGTCAGTCTGCTCTCTGCAGTCTCTCTAATAAACCCTGCTGGAAAGCAGCAAAGGCCTCAGCCCTGACACTCCCGTCTCCTCGGATGCTCCTTCGTTCCGCTGTAAAGCTGCCTGTCAATAGGTGAATGACTGGCCTGAACCACAGTCACGCCTGGAGCCCTCGTGCCTGCCGCCCTGCCCGCTGAGCAGGCTCAGCAGCTGCCAGGGGAGGGGGAGAGGCTTCCATGCGTGCTTGGCGGGGGCATCCCTGATTACTCCAGGGCTTTGTTTAATTGAAAGTCTCGGCAGCAAAGCTTGACGGCTAAGCCTAAAGGCAGATCGCTAAGTAACCCGGACGGTCTCCCCAGATGTCTCTAGTGAGTGCAGCGGGCACGCCGCATCGATCTGCGGACTCACCGAGGTCAATGAGGATGGCGTGCTGCTGGGAGGTGAGCTGCTTGAGGAGCTCCTTGTACGGCGTGTCCCTGGGCTGCTGCTTCGGGGGCAGCTGGTGCTTCAGGTGGTACTGCTCCGCCAGGAACTTCCAGATCTCGCCGCGGTGATGGCGTGGCACACCTGGGGGTGGGGAGGGTGGGAAATACAGAAGGATTTTATGCACAGAATACAGCTTCATAATAAAAATGAGCCGAAACTGGCTTGGCTCAGTGGATAGAGTGTCGGTCTGCGAATTGAGGGGTCCCAGGTTCGATTCCAGTCAAGGGCATGTACGTTGGTTTCTCTCTCATCGATGTTCGATGTTTCTAGCTTTCTATCCCTCTCCCTTCCTCTCTGTAAAAAAAATCAATAAAATAAATTTTAAAAATGAGTTGGGTTGTAGTCCATCGATCTGAATTCTAGTTCTGTTATAACTAGCAGCATAGGAAACAGCCAGAATTTTGTCCTATTTGCTCCCTTCCTTCCTTCCTCTGTGCCCTCCATCTTTCCCCTCATACCCCCTCCCACTTTGCTTTCACCTTTCAAATATACATGCTTTTGGATTATGCTAGAATCTTCCAGGGATAAACAGTGGGCGGCGGGAGCCATCTACCTGGTGCCAATTTACCGTGCCCTGAGAGAGAAGACCAAGCATGTAACTCTACCACAAAATGTCACCTCGTAAAAGGGGTGTGACCCAAGGGCGTGGACATGAAGAAAATCCAGATTTCACAGAACCTCTCGCTTGTGTGAGGGGGCGTGCAGGAGGCAGCCGATCAATGGTTCTCTCCATCACTGATGTCTCTGCCGCTCTCTCCCTCTCCCTTCCTCTCTGAAATCAATAAAAAATATAGTTAAGGAAAAAAAAAAAAAAAGAAAGAAGTGCATCCTGAAAAACATGTTAAGTGATTGATAGTGGGGCTTTTCACAAAATAGCTTTTTCCAACTGGGAAGTTTTCCCAGTTCTGAGATGAACAATTTCCTCTTATTACTAAATCGTTCCCATTAAACTTATCAGACCTTTATTTTTATTCAAGGAAAAAAACACGGGCTGTCACTGGACAGTACCACATACTCTAGTATTTAAGAGAAGGCTTAGATCTGTTCTTTAAAAACAAAGGGTCACGTACATGTGTTCGCTAAGAATGCCCTGGAGTAACCTTCCCACCGTTGGTTGTGCCTCCTCTCCTAACCGAAGGGAGGAACCCGGGGGAGTCTATGCAGAACCCACAGGCAGGGCTCCGCGTGGACCAGCGGCTGCCTTCCACCCAAACGTAAACACCTCTTCGTTTTTATGCCTTGAGAAGCAAAACGCGCTCACTATTTAAATCAAAAACTTCTGAAAAGCCAAAGGCATAAAGAAGAAAATGAAAACTACCCACAACCAGAGGGACTATATAAATCACCGTCCAAAGCAGGATGCTTTGAGAGCGAAGGGGAGGCAGGGTACTAGTGATCTCGCTGGAAGAGGCAGCCAGATGCACGGTCATCCTACCCGTTACCCAGAGGGCTGCGGACACCTCAGGATGTTTTCCTGCAGACGCACGCACCAGGCGCCTTCTTTCATTGACCAATTCCTTCTTGTGCATCTGTACAAATCTGCCGTCATTTTCAGGGAGTGAGACGTGGGTGTGGTCCCACGGTTGGGGATTCTGGCTCCGTTCTATATTCTGGCCTTTATAAACAATGCCACAATAAGCATTCTTCCCCACCGCAGAACGCTGCGGACTGATAGCATCTAGGTTTCTATACGTGGCGTCGCTGGGTCCTCCGGCCCACCCTGCCCACAGCTCAGGGAGCCAGCCGCTTGGCAATGCCACTCCCAGAAAAGCACACTCCGGTCCACAAAGTTCTCCTTAGCATCTTTTATTCGTTAGATAAATGAGATCATTTAAATAAATCACTAAAGGAACCTTTTAAACCCAAGCTAAACTTTGGAGTATGTAAAATTCCCCGAAACTATTCCTCCTTCTCCCAAGCTGACATCCTAATCCTGCAGCTCTGATTCGGTTTTAACTTGGACAGTTCATAAACCCCCTCATTTCCATCAGGCAGGGGCTCTTACCCACATGGGGACTGCCTTTTCTGTTAAGGGCTTGGAGGTGACTTGGCCTCTACCTGGAAGGCCGGAGCTGTGGTTCTGACTTAACCTCATTCTCTTCATCTGAGCTGCAGGCTGGACGGTGGCCATCTGTTTGCAGTAATAGGTCCTATGTGTAGAAGCCAGCTGAATAACTGACAAAGCCCCCCTCCAACCGAGAGAGACCGTTCCTGCCACGGAGAGCCAGGTGGCAATGACGGAAACCCATTTTTCCAGGTTAGCCTCAGCTCACCTCAGTACACACGTTGTCCAACCACTTATCCTTAACGCCACTACACAGGGTCCAGATACTGACAGTATTTCTAGTAGCACCCCCGCCCCCATGAAAATGCATGACAAAAACCAGTATACCAGGTGTCAGGCTTCTAAGAAAGTCAAACATCTGGAATAGCTGTCACAGGCCCTGGGAGGTTTACCTTTTGCAGAAGCAACGCCACCTGAAGGCCATCATGTAGTCAACAGTGAAAAGGGACAGAATGAACTCATCCTTTCCTCAGCTTCCTCCTTTTTCAAAACAGCTATCTGGGGCCACGTGATGCAATGGCAAGCCTCCAGCAATCACTATGTGAGCACGGGAAGAGCGCTCTGAGACCCTCTGCTTGGTCCACGCCCCCTGCTCTAGCAGCCAGGAGGCCAGAGCCCAGCAAAGTGAGGACACCTGCCAGAGCTCACACAGGGAGCCTGGCCCATCTGCAACCTGTGTCCCCCACCTGCCCTATTTCTGGTCTCAGAGAATAATACGGCGGAGGCACGGCTCAACCACAGGCAGGGCCTGCGCTGCCCAGAACGGTGTGTGTGTGTATGTGTATGTGTGTGTGTGTGTGTGTGTGTGTGTGTGTGTGTGTCTGTGTGTGTGGACCAGCTCTGGCCATTATTCAACTGCTCTAAGCCCAAGTCTCCTTCTTATCCATAGAAAGGGAAAGTCATACTAGTAATAACTATGTGTTACTAAAAATGGGTGCTGTCGCCGAAACCGGTTTGGCTCAGTGCATAGAGCGTCGGCCTGCGGACTGAAAGGTCCCAGGTTCCATTCCGGTCAAGGGCATCTACCTTGGTTGCGGGCACATCCCCAGTAGTGGGTGTGCAAGAGGCAGCTGATTGATGATTCTCTTTCATCGATGTTTCTAACTCTCTATCCCTCTCTCTTCTTCTCTGTAAAAAATCAATAAAATATATTAAAAATAAAATAAAATAAAATGGATGCTGTCAAAACCCAGATAACGGTTAGGTAATGCTTAATTGACTATTGAACAAAACCACTTGCTCCTTTACTCTCTTAGAGATGAATGAGGCTTGTGTATCTTCTCCCACTGATCAACTAATGAAGTCGGAAGAAAACCATAAGATTTATATGTATCTGCAACCCTTTTTCTAAACACTTGGTTATTCGGACTAGACCTGCCAGATCCCAGGAGTCCCGGAATCAGATTAGACTCACAAAGCCCCACCCTTGCCAGCAGACACTCATATGCATTTTAAAAGAATTGGCTGTTTCACTTGGACACTGATGATCATTGATAATCATTGAAGTTAAGCTCTCACATGGTGCTTCCCTAACTATCTGTGATGTAGGATCAGCTTTTCTTTTAAGATTCTCCAATCCACAGCAAAATGATACTTTTATAAAAAAAACTTAGCACAAAATGAATTAGTAGAAAAATAAAATGAGGGGAAGAAAAAAATTAGTAGAAAAATAAAATAGTGGAAATAAAAGTCCACTATTTTTCATCAGGATCTGTTAAATTGCTGGAAAAGTTTCTAAAGACATAGTCTTAAGTTCTGTATTCATCTTGGACCAGTCACAGTTCGGACTGGTACACGGTCAGCAGACCACACTAAAATAGTAAAAAATAAAAAATAGCAGAACTGCCCACTCTCCAGGGCCTCTGGGCGGAGCAGACGCTGCTGTGGCATCGGCTCGCTTACTCCTCGCAGCAGCCTCTGTTGTCACACACGTGGAAGTGGGGCTCAGAGAGGTTCAGTCCTTTGCCCAAGATCACATTGTAAAGTGGGGGGCTGGGGTCTGATCCAGGATGACCTGCCTGGAGTCTGTGTCCAAAGCTCTATGCTGTCTCCCGAAGAGTACTCAGAGGGAAGCCACCCAGCTAGTTCTCAGCTTACTCCTGAACTGAGGGTGCATCTTTATAGCGTTACCCAGTTTGTAGGCAACTAAGTCCTTGGGTTTTCCTCTGTCTGCTCCCTGTTTCCTGCGCATTTTAATTGATGTACTTAAAAGGAGTCATGAGCGGTGATGAAAGTCACATCAACTAAGATATCTGGAAACAGATGAATTGAAGAATGATAAAAAGGGGGTGAGACGGGACATAAACATTGCTTTTTTTTTTAAATGTTTGCGTCCCAACCTTCAGTGAGGGGTGAGGTTTGCTGGACTGTTCCCCAGTCAGGCTCACCTTGCCCAACAGCAGCGTGCATTTTCTCCATGTCGAACTTGATTTTGGACCTTCCCGGCGTGCTCAGCATCTTTTCCCACACCGCCGTCACTTCCTTCAGGCAAGGCGTGATCTCTTCGTAGTCGAGCTTCAGGCGCTTGTTCAGCAGGTCGTTTTTGGAAGCTACGACAGATCATGGAAGAGCACGTTAGTGAACCCCGTATGCATCTTCTACTGCCCAATGAGGCTGCCTAACAGAAAACGCTATCTAAGCTGAGAGAGGCTCTCTAAGGACGCTTCCTTCTCATGTCGAGCCAAACCTTCTAGAAGGCTACCAGCTTCTAGTGAGAGTCCTGTTTCTGCTTCCTGGAATGAAACGGAACAGAATGCATACACACTCTTCATACGCGTCTCCTTGCACCTGAGGGTAGCTAGTATTTCCCACCAACCCTATTCCGTTTAGAGCTTCACGAAGAAGAATGATACCTAAACCACCAAGAGGGGGAAGGGGAATAGAGCAAGAGTTTAAACGGACAGTTCTAAGAAAGGTTGAAACTGATGGCCTAATTCTACCTAAAAGCACTAAATCCTATTTAGATACCGAGTCCACTCCACTCACATTGGGATCCGGACTGTGCGTTCATCAGGAGAGCAGTTAGGATAGAGGGCTACGTATAAGCCAACACACAGACTTTGGCAGAGCTGGCGAACTCGGTTTCTTCATGATGACAAACACTGCATGTCTTATGTACTTTGTGTTTAGTAACCTTTCGTCTGAACGCCCCTCTGAGGCACCAGGGGCTGAGCAGCCTCCCCGAAGTCCAGGAGCAGGAGGCAGAGCAGCCGGCCCTGGGTCCCGGCCTCGGGGTGCTATGAAGCTTGCTGCTAGTGATTACACATCTTTTCTGGGATTGGGCTCAAGTCAGTTAGGCGCCTTAAATGTTTTATAGAATCCGGGGCAGCTATCTGAGCCTGGAGCATTCTTCAGTGAAAGGTTTTCAATACAAATATGATCTATTTAAGAGGTCTGCGGCCACTCCAATCTTCTTGCTCTTGTCAGCATTTACCAGTTTTTGGTCAAGTGCATCTTTTTGAGAGGTTTGTCTGCTTCATCTAAGTAGTCAAGTTTATTGGCATAAATTTGCTCTTCCTCCTACAGACACTGGTAAGTCAGTGCATACACCTCATGAGTGTGTCCTTGACCCCCTGCAGATTGACTATTGCTCTCCCCTGGCAACCACGTTTCATTTGGAGGCAGCCGAGGCTCAGCAGGGTCCTTCCTGTGCCCTGTGAGAAGTGCTGGTGGCAGGATTCGAAGCCCTCTGCTTTGGTTTTGAACACCAGTTCCCATTACTTTTAAAATGAGAATTACAGCCCGGCCTGCTTGGCTCAGTGGTTGAGCATCGACCTATGAACCAGGAGGTCACAGTTTGATTCCCGGTGATGATTCCCAGTCAGGGCGCATGCCCGGGTTGCAGGCTCCATCCCCAGTGTGGGGCGTGCATAAGGCAGCCGATCAATGATTCTATTTCCCTTTCCCTTCCTCTCTGAAATCAATAAAAATAATAAATGAATAAAATTACTGAGCTACTTCACTGAGTAGCTCTTGTGAGGATTAAATGTGATGAACTAGAGCAAGCATGCACACAATGCCTGCTTCACTCACACATGCATCACAAATTATATTATCAAAACTAAAGACAGTGGAAGGCACAGAATGTTGCTTTACAAACGAAGTGCTGATGATGTAAAATAAAATACTTTCTTTTTCCGATCTAGAAATTTAGCAAATGCTAATGCAGTAAATCTGGCTCAGGGGACCCTGGTGGTGGACCTTACTCCTCTGACGCACGGATTGGGACCCTCACTGGCCCAATTACCGTCGCTCAGAACAAATACATCAAAACAGGGCACTGCAAAGGCCCGAGAGACCCCTGGCACAGCCCCTCACTCACAGGCACAGTCACTGGAGCTCAGAGCAATTAAGGGCTTGACAAGGTTACTAACTGGCTGATGGGTAGCAAGTGACTCAGGCCTAGTGCTCTCTTATTTTTTGGAATGTTTCATCTATCTCTCTTCTTTTCCTTCTTACTTTGAAGAATTTGCAAGGTACTGCTAAACAATTCCCTAGATCTGTGGAGTTCAAATGTTTTAAAAAAATGTCAGCCCCAGACTTTTTCGTGGCTTTGAGGAAGCACAGAAGGTGTCCTTAGCATTGAACTAACCCCCGTGGCAAATCGGGTCAGACCTGGCCTGGCTTAATGCAAGCAGCACGGGGTTCCGGGAGCCACGCACACCTATTTCCCTGGCCGTGACCTCGGCCTGCCTGGGAGCGTCTGGCTGCACTGAGAGGCCGGCAGGCAACACAAGAGACAGGCTCTGGAGTCTACAGGATGGGAGCATCTGGCCAGAAGATGCAGCTGCAAAGGCTTAATCCACGCATTCTGCTGTTGGCCCAGGCCAGTGGTCGGCAAACTCATTAGTCAGCAGAGCCAAATATCAACAATACAACAATTGAAATTTCTTTGGAGAGCCAAATTTTTTAAACTTAAAACTTCTATCGACACTTCTTCAAAATAGACTCGCCCAGGCCGTGGTATTTTGTGGAAGAGCCACACTCAAGGGGCCAAAGAGCCGCATGTGGCTCTCAAGTCATGGTTTGCCGACCACGGGGCTAGGAAACATCCTACTGTGCAGCATCCTGACACCACCACTTCCTAAAATCCAAAATGCCTGTCACCCAAGGCAGATGTGCAGGCCAGTGACAAACATCAAGGTGCCAACGCAAGATTTTTAGAAACTGTTTGAAATACCGTAGTGCAGTGTTTTTCAACCTTTTTTGGGCAAAGGCACACTTGTTTCATGAAAAAAATCATGAGGCACACCACCATTAGAAAATGTTAAAAAATTTAACTTTGTGCCTATATTGACTATATATAAAGTAATTCTCTTGAATAGGAATCAAATAAACACAAAGAAAGTATTTTATAATTACTTTATTATGAAATATTAAGTAAACAAAATAGTGAAAAATTATAAAATTCTTGTCTTGTCTGCACCTACGGCACACCAGGCAACATCTCGCAGCACACTAGTGTGCCGCGGAACAGCGGTTGAAAAACGCTGCCGTAGTGAACCAGGGTCTGCAGCCCCCGGTGGGTGAGTTTCTGGGGCTGGGGAAACCAGGACTGCAGGAGAGGCATGGAAACACTTGTTATCGTTTAACATGGACGTGTGAGCTAACTTGGACTTCGGGCTAACGTTCAGATCGGATTTACGTCCCTTGTGTAGGGTGGGCTGTGGCTGCCATTCCCAATTCTGCGCCGTTAGCAACCGCTTCCACGGCGAGAGCACTTCCCACCGCCACCGCCTCCGAAAAGCTGAGAAAGGGAAGGCTAAGGGCCTTGGAGCCTCAGTAGTTAAATGGCCCCCGAGCTTGTAGAGATTTTGGAAGAACTGAACCCGTTATATTTAATATTTTTACAACCAACGTGTAACATTTGTCTAACCAGGGGAAAACCTTTTAAAAGTATCTTCAGTTACAATTCAATTAAAATTCCAAATTTGATAGGTCACTATGCAGATGTAACACCTGTATCGTTTTAATCTCAAAGAAGAAATGCTGAACTGTGAGAGTCAGTCCGACAGGCAATAACGTGCAGACAAGAGCTAGGCTTGCACTGAACCACGCCCTGCTGCCTGACAACAGGCTGCCTGCGTCTCCGCTTGTAAAAGAGAGAAGGGCCTTAGGAGGGGCATGCGGGGGACTGCTGGGGATGCCCTTTAGTCCCCACATCACTGGAAAAACAAGCTGTTTAACTGGGGGAGTTACAATTTAGCCTCCCCTGTCTACACTCTACAGTGAGCAAGGCCAATTTCAATGACGTGGTTTGGTTCTATCTCAGATGCAATGCTTCTAGAACTGTAATAATATTTGGTCCATATATGCAAAAGTCAGGAACTAGGCGTAACGGTAGGCAGGACCTCATACATGTTTCTTCCTTTTCTTTTCCAAAGAGCTTGCCAGCTGGCCTGACCCCGTGATCAATTTTAAGAGCCACTCCCAGCTGCAATTTAACTTTCCTTTGTAAAAGCAATTGGGGTGGAGGGACAATAGAATGACTGATTTCTAGCACACAGTGCATTCCCTGATAAGTTTAATGACAAAATCCTGCCCCCTATCCCACCTCAACACAGCTTACTAAATATTTTTTAAGCAATTCACAAACAGGCTTTTACTGATGATGATTTCTCAGCAATATAGGTCCTGTATGCACCGATACAATGCTTTCTAAATTACATTTAGCAAGCTGACTGCGCTTTTGCCGCAAAGGTCAACCTGTGTTGGACTTCACAGAACTGAAAAGAGAAATGAATCCCAGCGGTAAAAACGAAAGGCCACACAGGACAGAACGCTGCAGGTGAAATGAGGAAGCAGTGGAGAGGCGCTGGGCGGGGCCGGTGCACACACACCCTGCCAGGTGACCTCAGGAAATGTCCCAGCTCACGCTGGCTGGGCAAGTTGCCATTTACACAGCTTTCCCGGAACTCTGCTTCTGTGCTACCCTGATCCTTCCCAGCATTCCTGGAGGCCAGCCAGCACCATCCCCGTTTCACAGGGGAGCCCACTTTCCCTGGCTGTCATGTGCACAGTCAACGAGGATAGGCACTAAGGTGTATGGCCTATCTGATAAACACGACTGCCTTTCCCTTTCAAATCTCAACCAACATGCACAGGGGAGTGGCTGCTGTGCTCCAGAGCTGACACTCAACTGATGACACGCTCCGTGACGCCATCCCCATCAGAGCTCCTTTGGGTTGCTGCTTTTAGAGTTAATCACCTCAGGGACCCATAGGAAACTGGGAGAAACATGGAGCTAGGAGAAGTCCTAGCACTTGCAGCAGCCTCACTGGGCGGCCCATCTCCCTCAGCTTCGATACTGCGTCTCGTAAAACGGCTGGGCTACTTTCATATTAAAAGGTCTTATTACTTCCTAGTTCATTTCTTGTATTTGGTCAAAGATAATAGACTTAACTGGACTATGAAACGTAGGAATCAAATCTAGTGTCTTAATGACTTTCAGCTTCTTACAAACGGCAAGATGGTTATTAAAAGATGAAGATGGACAATCAGGGAAGGAGTTCAATGAAACGTACAGCAGTCTCCCACCCCCTTATCTACAGGGGATGGGTGACAAGACCTCCAGGGGATGTCTGAAACCAAGAGGGTACTGGGCACTCTATACGCTAAGTTCTCCCTATATATACTCACCTTCTCCCTTAAAGGAAGCACATCTGAATTGCCAGTATCACCACTGTTGTGCTTCGGGGCCATCACCGGGTAAAATAAAGGTGACCTGAACACATGCACCATGACACCGTGACTGTGACTCTGATGACTGAATCCGCTACGGAATGGCTAATGGCAAGTAGTACGGACGGCAAGGAAATGTTGGACAAAGGGATGGTTGATGTCCGGGCAGGATGGAGGGGGACAGAGCTCAAGGTTTCATCACAATACTCAGAACAGCACACACTTTAAAACTTATGAATTGTTTACCTCTGGAATTTCCACTTAATATTTGCAGACCACAGGTTAACTGAAAACCACAGCTAACAGGAGCGTGCGTGCTGGACTCTAATTCCAAAGACTCCTTGGGAGTGGCGGCACGGCTGAACTCCCTGCTCGGGCTCCCTCTTAGAGTGCGTCCAGACTCCCTGATCAAGTTCCTCATTATTTATAGCCAGGCTGCTCTCTCCACTCTAAGTCCCACGTTCTTTCCATTATACCATCCAGGGAACATAAACTCAGCTCTTAGCTGCTTCGAAAATAATAACTCATTGCTTCAAGTGACAGCATGGAAACAGGAAATGAACAAACAAAATCTAAAGCTTGCAAAGTTCACGACTTATTTTGATCCTGACGTGACCCTGGGCAGGTTGCTTGGCTTCTCGGGGCCCTAGTTTCCTTTCTCCTTCAGAGTAAACCCTGGAGCTGTCCTGAGGGCCGAGGGAGTCTGGCGGCGTAGACACCCAGAGAGCACACAGGCGAAGCTCCGCTAATGCTGGCCTGTCCGGTTACTGCAGCTCACTAACCACGCACAGAGTGAGGTGATGAAGTTAGCGATCACTAGTGTGTTGGATTAATTCATATGTAACATGGAGGCACAGACTATGGCTGAGGGCAAAGCAGGGAGAGAGAGACGAGAACAAAACAAAATCTACTTCTAGAAGGTTAGAGCTTACATTTGCAGGTTGTCTCTCGGAAGTTCTCTAGACACTATGCTAAAAATGACCATATACAAATAACGGATACAGTTAGTGAGGTCATTGGATCTCCAAAAAGTGGTGTTAATCTTACTGATATGTTAAAGTAAACAGAAATTTACATGCATGTAGTTGTGCAGTTGTATGTAAAATTGTAGGCACGGGAGGGTATCTTTCTTTCTTTCTTTTTTAAATATATTTTATTGATTTTTGTACAGAGATAAAGAGAGAGGGAGAGTTAGAAACATCAATGAGAGAGAATCATCGATCAGCTGCCCCTTGCACATCCCCTACTGGGGATGTACCCGCAACCAAGGTACACGTGCTTGGCCGGAATCGAACCTGGGACCTTTCAGTCCACAGGCCAATGCTCTATCCACTGAGCTAAACCAGTTTCGGCTGACTTGCTTTCTTTTAAAGACAGTATGCTTATGTCTGGTGTGATTTCAGTTCCACGCCGAGATAAGTGATGATCATAGGGCCTGCTGAGCGTAAAACAGGGCAGACTGACCTTGGAGCTTCTGGTTCTCCTTCTCCATCCGGAGGAGGAGGATCTGCTGCAGAATCGCCTTGCGCCACAGTTCTCGGAGCTCGCGAGACGTCCTTCTCTTCTCCTCTGGGACCGGGCCAAAGGGTCCATCCTCACACACCGGCTCTAACGGAGACCGCGGCGGGAGCTCTCCCAGCTCGGAATAATCTGGACGGGAAAAGGGCATTTCAGAATGGTCATTTCTTTCAATAACCATTTATATTCAAATGTGCTGCCAAATCAGAAAATTCTCCTCACCACATGATGACATTACCCAGACTGGTGATTCATGTCTTAATATGCACTGTAATAAACTACGTCTTAACTATAGACATCTAACAACATATAAATAGTAAGCAAACGTTGTAGAAGCTGAGGAAATGTCCAAAGACGCCTGCTTATTTAAGGTGCAATACACCTTCTTCTGAGTGAGTGATATATTGATAGTAGTAAGAGCAGACATTCACCTCGTGCTCACTACGTATGTACAGTAATTTACTTAGCACCCGACCAACCCGAGACATAGCTGCTTGAACTATTCCGTTTTAAAGAAAGCAACCTGATACACAGGGGATGTAAGTCATGCCTAATATCACAGAGCTAGGAGCAGCAGAGCCGGGACTGGAACACAGTCTTGCTTTCATATGCATGCTCAGCCACTCTGTTACAGGTATGTGGAAAGAAGATTAAAACATATTTAAGCCGAAACCGGTTTGGTTCAGTGGATAGAGCATTGGCCTGCGGACTAAAAGGTCCTGGGTTTGATTTCGGTCAAGTGAATGTGCCTTGGTTGCAGGCATGTCCCCGGTGGGGGGTGTTCAGGAGGCAGCTGATTGATGATTCTCTCTCATTGATGTTTCTAACTCTCTGTCCCTCTCTCTTCCTCCCTGTAAAAAATCAATAAAAATATATTTAAAAAAAACATATTTAATAGCAAATAATGACAGTTACCATTAACGGATCCTCTCTCAAGTGCTGGCCAGGTGTGTTATGTACTTATTCAATCCTTCAAATCCAGAAGGCAGGTGGTAGCATGAAGAGAACCCAAGGCTCAGAGAAGCCAAGGAACTTGCCTGGGGCCATACATTGAATACACAGGGGCGCTGGGACCCCAACCTACGTCTGCCTAACTATGTCCGCTGGGTCCCCCACCATTCCAATGTATCCTATGGCGTCCATTTTTAAGTTTTCATTTATTAGCTGAATTCTCTTTACAGTTCATGAACCTGTACCTTTCTCGAGTGCAGACTCTATGTTGCTGGTACACAATGTTACCACGCACGAATATCCACAACGCTCACACAGAGCATCCACTTGCCCGCTCTGCAGCTAGCTCTGAGCGGCAGCACAGGCTCCTGTCCAAGTGGCCCCGTGGACACAGCTCATCCTTGGGAACTTCTGCCTAAAATGAACCTAAACACCATCCTGGTCTGAACACAGGCCATGAAGCCCTGAGTCTCACAGCCACCCTAATATAATATATAATATCTCCATAATATACAGTGATATACAATCGCTCCAGTGCAAGCTCCAGCACAATTCCACGTTAACGATTCATTTCCAGAACAGTCGTCGGCATCAACAGCTCATTACCTTTATCGGAATTTGCATTTATTTTCCTGCAATGAAATCAAACACGACTACAAAATGTTTAATTTCCTACAACAACTTGTCCATGTGAACTCCTCTTAAAATGACTGGATTAAAAAAATTATGATGGGGGAATGGGGAATCCTGTACGAGGTAAAGGACTGCCTAACCACTATGATGTACATCTGAAACTATTATAATACAAAATAATACTGAGTGTAAACTGTAATTGGAAAATAAAATTAAAGAAAAATAAAATAAAAAATTATGGTAAGCATTAAGAAATCTTAATGATCGCTGTAGCATTTAAATGCTTATCATCACATTTCTATATATGCTTATTTCATTATGATTCTATTAAACAAGTGAGTAAATTAAAATTCTACTTCATTTCGAGGTAAAAAGTTATACACAGTTCATGCATAGGTTAATGGCCAACATAAATGTAGGAATCAGAACTGTCTGTAGAGTATAACATGATAATATAATATTATGAGAGGCAGTACAGCTCAGTGAGTAATAGGTCAGGTTCTGGAGCCAGGCTGCCTGGGTTTTAACCAAAAGTCTGCCTTTATTGATTCTGTGACCTTTAGCAAATTGCTTAACTACTTTGTGCCTCAGTCTCCCAATCTCTCAAGTGGGAATAACAGCACCTCCCTTGTTGTGTGCTAGAGGGACCAAATTCATACACGCCTTGTAAACCACCTAAACAGGATCCAACGCACAGTAAGAATATAGTAAACTGTTAGCCGTTAGCCAGACAACTGGAAGCTCTAAGAAGACCCCACAAGGCCACCTTGTCAGGGAGGGTTTGTCCAGCACCATGCCTGGGGCCTGGCACCCAGCAGGTACTTTATAAATAACTGATGAGTAAAGGAAGAGACAAGCAGGTGCTGGGTTTGGGCATGCTTGTCATTCTTCTTTGTAGTTCCTGTATTTTCTCAATGCATGACAATAAACAATTTTTTATAATCAGAAAATTGAAGAAAAAATAGTGCAAAACTATTCTGATTTAAGTCAAAGATTGAAAAACACAAAGCCCCTAAAAGACAAATCAATCCCACAAACACCCGTATACACAGGAGCACTAGTCACTCTCATCCTTTTTTCAGAAGGAACTGAGCCAGGGTTCTTGTTTCATCTCACTCTGCAGCCTGAAGTCTTCCATTTGAAACCTTTCCCTTTTTTCCTCCTTTTCCCATCGTGCTGCTGAAACTCTGCTGGACACTCAATTATGATTCAAGTTCTGCTTTATCTCATGCTGGAAGTATTTACTCTCCCACTGGTTCACTAGAGAGTCTCGTTTCTAGTGTGACTCCCAGCTGATGAGACAGGCACTGGGGCAGCGGTGAGCGTAGCAGGTCAGCGCACTTTCACGTGTATGTATGTGTGAATGTGAGTGTGAGTATGTGTGTGTGTGTGTCTTGCACACAACCTGACAGTCAACAGAACAGTAGGTGTAACCTAACAATTCTTTGCTATTCTTTTTTTTTTTTTTTAGACATTTTTCTTAATTTTATTGTCCAATTACAGTTCACATTTTTTGTTAGTTTCAGGTGTACAGCATAGTGGTCAAACAATCACATTCTTTACAAAGTATGTGTGTGTGTCTCCCTCCCCACCCCGATATTTCCAGTACCCACCAGGTACCATGCATCGTAATTACAATATATTTCCTATGCTGTACTTTACATCCCCGTGACTACTTTGTAATTACTCACTTGTGCTTTTTAATCCCTTCACCTTTTTCACTCTGTCCTTCAAGCCCCCACCCTTTCAGGAACCATCAGTCTGTTCTGTCTCTGAGTCTGTTTCAATTTTGTTTGTCTATTTTATTCACAACCAAGTGAAATCATATGGCATTCTTTCCCATTCTTAAACGCTACTAATAAGACAAGGGCTCAGCTCACCCAGTCTCCTTCCTCTACACCAATGGTCGGCAAACCACATGTGGCTCTTTGGCCCCTTGAGTGTTCTAACGCCACTTCTTCAAAATAGACTCACCCAGGCCGAAAACCGACTTCTGCGCATGGGCCACGAAGTTTCAATCGCTCTGTATGTGCGCGCCCGCACGTAGTATTTTGTGGAAGAGCCACACTCAAGGGGCCAAAGAGCCGCATGTGGCTTGCGAGCTGAGATTTGCTGACCATTGCTATAACTTTTGCCGACGACTGCTCTAACTTATCTTCTCTGTCTACTGCAGCCTTTCTTCTGGGCGCCTTGAAAATTCCTGCTGCATTCCTCTCCAGCAGAGTGGTGTGGATAGAGCAGGTGTAACTCAGGCCAGCTAATGGAGCACGTCGAGGAGTTTGGGCTGTTTGGTCCACTTATTTCTGCCAACTGGGTCACCGACAAGGACCACAGGCTCTAAGCTTATGAAGCTCCAGCTTTTGCTATTTTCCTATTCAGAGAAACCCAATCTGCCGAGGGTCCAAGCACTGTTTGGTGATGACGACTGTGGGGTTAAAGGCATAAACTGCCTCCCTAATGTTCCCTGCTCTTGCATTCTTTTCTTATTGTCAATCACAACTCAGTTTGCTGGGCTTTTGCCACGTGATGAGTCCTCGACACAAATAAGTTTGTCTGATTCTCACAACCACCTCGCGAGAAAGGCGATGAAATCCCATTTCACAGGCAAACCACCAAGGTGCAGTGGGGTGTGTTTTAACTTGGCCGAGTCCATAAGGCTTGTAAGAGTCAGAGTTGTAATCATGGTGTAATTTCATCCGAAGTAAAATGCATGTCCAGAGCTTCTCTGACCTCTGGGTGCACAACATACTGAGGGCGCCTTGCTAAAACCCAGACTCTGATTCAGGGGGCCTGAGGGGAACCTGAGCGTCTGGGTTGCCATCAAGCTCCCGGGGGAGGCCACACTGCGATTCTCCAAACACTCTGAATGGTGGGGCTCTCACTACATTCTCACTGTTCGTGCTCTAATGTAACCCTATGTTCTTACCATCATGTCAGCGCCTCGTGTTCTCTCACGGTTTCCACTAGGACACTGATCAAAAGCTGTTACTGTCAGCTCCTGGCCGTGTGTGAACGGAAGCCCTCACACAAGGCCTGAGCTTGTGCTGACCTTGACCAGGGTACCAAGGCCAAGTGCAGAACACAGAGGATCGCAAGTACTCATGCTAACGGCACCTCTGAATTACTCAACAGGAGTGAATCCACAGAAAAGATCGGCAAAGTAAGCCTAACCGGGAACAGCAGGGTTTCTCTGCCTCCGCACCCCTCGTGTCCGGGGAGGGACAATCTCATTGGGGGGATGTTCCGGGCGCTGTAGGAGGGGGAGCAGTAGTATCTGCCCACCCCCTGTGGTGACAATAAAAATGCCCAGACACTGCGAAATGCCCTCTGGGGAGGAAGTGGGGCAAGATCACCCCCAGCGGGAATCCAATTCTCAACTTTAAAAACCTGTCACTGATGATTGCCTACACTCACGGAAGAGGTTCAAATGTACCTGCTTCGTCCTCATATACAATATTTTATGTGGTAACAACTGCTGAAGTCACCGTTTATAATGAACAAGAATTTTTTTTAAGTCTATTCTCTTTTGTTCATATTAAGAGCAGCCT